GCATCACCAAACGGAGAGAGAAGGGAGTTTAGGAGTGTAGTTTAAAAACTAATTACTGTAGTACATTTCTCGGATTTTAGCCTGCAAAGCATCACACGTTTTCTTGGCATCTCCCAGCAACATAGCTGTGTTGGGTTTGTAGAAAATGGGATTGTCAACTGCAGCATAACCCACTCCTAGTGTGCGCTTCATCACAATGACCTATGGAAAACAAAGCTGTCAGCACCAATTCTATACTGTATAAGAACTTTATCTAGGCATTTCCATGATCAGAGAAACAGTGGCACCTCTAGTGCCCTGGAACAATGCAACTTTGATACCTCTGTTTTTATGGATTTTATAGACATTCTTGTCTTTTTTTTTTTTACTGCACATGCAAAGTGTGAATTATTGTAATCGTTTAAATCTCTGTGCTGTATGGTATCTAAGCAAGTAGTGGTAAAATTGAAAACTGATGATTTACCATGCACTGTGGTTTTAAAATGTCCTTGTAACTGTAAGCACTGTACCTGTTTCGATTTCCACACTTCTAAGACTGGCATTCCAGCAATGATGGAGTTAGGATCTTCCTGAGCTGCAGAGTTCACTGTGTCGTTTGCACCAATAACTAGTGTCAAGTCGGTTTCTGTAGTGACACAGAAAAAATAATTGCTGTGATTATTGGACAAACCATTTTTTTCCCTAAAAGCAACAAACTACATTAATCAAATTCGTACTCAATGTCATCAATCCCCCCTCTGACACACACAGCTTAAATGAAGCCATCTGTTTAAAAGTGTGCAGAACATTATGAAGACTGAAAAGCTGGCAGCTTTAAAGATGTATTGTGGCTCTGTAGCATTGCATGTTGAAACATAATTATATAAAGTTTGGCCAAAAATGAATTCACTCATAAAGCTAAAGATCAAAGATTTTTTTTTTTTATTTAGAAAGTGCAAACTTGTTTTCAACTTAATTCTAGATGTACAATCTCAGTTCATTTGCTGTGCAACCATTAAAAGATACTACAAGGCTGTGCAGAGCATAATACTGAAATACTTTTCAGTGCTGGTGTCAACTATCACAGAGCTAAATTATTACTAAGAAGTAAAATGTGGAATTTATCATCAGAATGTATCGACTTTACTTTTAAAAATTTTAATATCCAAGTTTAATATTTTATCTGAGCTTCAACGTGCACGTAACAGGAAAAAAATAGGCAGCAAGACGGAAAACGCTGGAACTAGCAGAAGCTATGAAAAGAATTGAGGTATCGTGTTTCTTTGCCTGAGTTGTTGGTCTTTGACACAGGTACTCCAACAGATGTTAACATGACATTCTTCTCCATGTTAATGTATGGCCACCAGTAAGGCTGAGAACAGGGTCCCCTTCAATTATTTACCTTTTTTCTACATCGTGGAGCAAATACTATACCACTAAAACACTCCCGCATCAAAATGTTTCCGGCATCGAAAACTTGGTTTATATCTGTAGGAAGCCCCCTGCACTGCAGGAGGAAATCGTGAGTGGGAAGTGTGAGCGATTCCTCAAGCTCACCTGGGAAGTCCTCATTGATCTCATCCATTTCCAGCACAACATCATAAGGAACTCCAGCCTCAGCTAGCAGCACATTCAGCTGACCAGGCATGCGACCAGCGACTGGATGAATGCCAAACCTGAAAATAATACAAAATTAGCCCTCCCAGTCTATGAATGATGGAAGACTAACTTATCAAGCCAAAAAATCAGTTCACATCCTTTTATTCTTCTATTTTCTGGCAAAGCAGTCCTGTATAAGGGCCCGTGTCCAGATGCTCTTGGAGTCTTCTTTTTTCCTTGCTGTCTGTGCAGAAATTGATATCTGGAATATGTGTGCATATGTACTTAGCACCTTGTTTAAATAAAGACATCATTTGATATTTTTGAATACAAGGGACAGATGTAGTTTATTATTTTAAATATGACAAGGTATATAGACATAAATATTTTTTAAAAAAATAATATGACATGAGGTATGTAGAAAAGTCCCACATACCATGTGTATTGTCAAAGTAAACATGCATTGTGCAAGTTTTTCATATGGAAGTGAAGCCTGGCTGTACTTTTTCAATTCAAAAATGAAGTGGATTGTTAAGCTGTTTTACTAGAATGTATAGATACCGTACTAAGTAATGAACATGCCATTTCTCGTTAATGACTACATGTACAAAGTGTTTCACATTTGTCCCTCACAGTATCACTTTTAGACAAAGACTTCTAGGACTTGTCAGGCACTCAAAGTGATATAATAAAAAGAGTTGTGCCACTCCTCCAATCAGCACTCACTCTCCCGTAAGGCGCTGTGGAGATTGCAGGCTGTCAAAAAGATGAATATCTATAATGTGGGAGTGTCAGAGCAGCATGTCCCCAGATTCTTGTTCTCCTCTGAAGTCACAGATCTGCAGAATCCTGGTATCTATTCCTGCCTTCTTCTCAGCTGGTCCTCTGAACCAGTTATTTGCTTAGGAGCGTCCACCAGTTGAACTGCAATGAAATCGTTAAAACACACCAGGAGTCTTACCTGACTGCCTTGCCCTGTTCCCGCAACATTTTAACCATATCTGCAATAGGGTACTGGGCCTTCGCAGCACACAGGCCCCAGCCTGCAAACAAACAGGAGTCGAGACAAACAGCCTTCAGAAACACCTCTGAGAAGCTGAAAATATTCATTAAAAATTCTTATTTATAACCATGTTCAGTTGTGTTTACAACTTTAACTAAAATTTTAAATGTTTATGAAGCCAGAATAAGTTGTTTCTTGATGGACATTACTTCTTTTACTTCTGTGTTAGGCTGGATTTAATGAAGGGTATGGAGATCACTATACCATTCTGGCAATGTTTTAGGAGATTAAATAATGAAGGATATTGACACCTTTGAGCAGGGAGAAACCATAATCTCTTGCTTTAGAACAACCGTATCCTGTTTCTCCAATGGCTCATTGTAATTGGCTTCTTGGGTGCCTTTAATGATAGTGCACTTAAACTATGGGACAGCTTCCATGGGTTGACTTTTCTGGTCCCATCCACTCAGTAACTGGTTCAACACCTTTTAACCAGCTCTACCTTTTTCAGTAGTTACAGCAAGAATAAAGTCACATTTGTATTATGTACAGTATCTGCAGGAGTGGCTGCAGATACTGCATTAAGATTATTAAGAAAACCTCTTAATGATTTTCATGGTCATTTTCTTTTGCCGTCTTTGCTGGTATGGTTTCAGTCATTCTCACATCTGATGTGACAATATCGGGCACTGCTCAGCTCAGTAGTCAAAAGCATGGAGCTCAGACCAATATACACAGCTTTTAATTTCTATGATTTTTATAATTAAACATGATCTTCTATAAACACTTCAATGAAGGCAATATTACTACTTGCTAACCCAATTTTTTCCATCTGAAGCAACGTCAGTGCAGTATTTTAATTGGCTGTACTACAGTACTCTTTTTAAAAATTTTCCAAGTCCTACAAAGGAGTTTAAACAGGACACTGCTACCACCTAGAGGTAAACTCACTTTGTCAGAGAGACGATTTTACTCCTGCCTGTTTGTACAGCAGATAGACAACTTATCATTAATGAAATGTAAAATTAATTTTGTAATGGACAAAGGCATCAGATAAATTTATCATAAAAAGAGACTGCATATTACGGAAAAAACGTGCAGGTGAAGACGTCTGTGGGTTCAAATCCTAGCTGTGGCTCTGCTGTTGTGCCTTTGAGCAAGGTACTTCATACAGATTTATCCAGAAACTTTAATGTTGAAATGGGCACAAATGCAAGTTGCTTTTGAGAAAAGCATCAGAAAAATGAATGAAAAATTGTGTTTCCCTACAGGGGATAATTTTGCATTAATTTAATGCAATGTAATTACAGTCTTCTGCCTGCATATTCTTATATTTTTTAATCTGTGCTTTTCTTCCACAAACACTTGGAAGATTTGACTCCCATTTGGACACAGACCCTGATGTTATGCTTGTAGTTTGAATGTCTGAACAAATGGAGAAAATTACAGTGGCGTGCCTGCAGCAATGTTAGCTACAGCAATGCAGTGGATGATGGGAGTCTATGACTCACTTTTTACCTGGGGTGATGATAATACTGCTGGCCTCCTTGATCATCTCCACTGACTGCTCCACATTGACTTCTGTATGTGTCCCGACTATCTCCATTGGCTTCCCTCCCCCTGTTGATGAGGTTCCATATCCTCCCAGAATCACATTAGGCAGCGACCGGTTCATGGCCTATGACAATAGTGAGGAAAATCAGAATAAAAAAAAATAATTCAAGTATGGTGGCACTCAGTCCTGGTCCTGGGGCACCCCAGTGTCTACTCCAGCAGTTCTTAATCAAAGGCAGATTTATTTCAATTTTTTCTTCAAGGCTTTTGGCTCTTAAAAATTAGGCCTTCAAAATCTGTAATTACCATGAGCCCTGTGCTAATTAGTGAGTTTCTGGGCTGCCCTCATTCAGGTTTGGCAGCAGAAATATAACCAACTGAACTTGAGCAGAAGGAAAGACACTGACTCACTGTGGAAGCTGCCAAAAGGTGCTTCCACCAGATACTGAATTCAGTGTTCTGAATTCTTAATCTACATATTTATCTGGGACACCATAGGGAGGGTCTGAATGCTTTTGCAAGGCACTGAATTTCTTGAGTTGCTTAATTAAATGGAAAAAAACTGCATTTGTCAAGCAAATTACATCTGTCACAAAAATGACAGCTAAAGTTCCATCCAAACATTTTTCCCTATTGGCCAGGGCTAGTCCGATGATCCCGGTGTCCCATGGCTTAAATTACAGCAGGACTCCGTGTTTCTCAATTAAGATAATAGTGTAATTGATGTGTTTCTGCTTCTAGAGGTTAGAAATTACAATACAAAATTCTTTAGACCGTTTTTAGCTCAGCAGCTGTAATTAGTAAATTAAATAATCAAGACCTTTGTTGGAGCAAAAACACTAACATCGCTTTACACAGAGCATGGTAATTAAGAGGAAGCTGTTCTCAGCTCTTTGAGCAAAGCAGCTGGGCCTGAGCACTGTACTTACCACACACATGATATAGGACAGGATGGCCCCAGAGGACCCAATCAGCGCTCCAACAATGGTCATCAGGTTGTTGTCCAGCAGAAAGCCCTCTGCACACAGGGCCCAGCCAGAGTAGCTGTTGAGAACTGTGATTACAACTGGCATGTCAGCCCCTCCTATAGCTGCGGTCAGCGTCACCCCCTAGAGACACAATTCCAGATATTAATTTTGTCTAACATTAGTACACATGTATAACACTGGGCGTTTTACTGCAGCAATCAAGTGAAGTGACTTGCTCAAGAGTTGCTCAAGTTTGAACCCACAAATTTCAAGTTGATCTAATTACTGCACCACACCTCTTTCCTGATGCAGCGGTTGTGTGATTGCTCTGGTTACAGACCAGATGTCAACATTAATCTGAAGATGCAGCAAAGATACAGTGAAGTCTATTGGCCCCACACACACACAAACAGTGCGAGGGCTGACTGTTAATACAGGACTGTCATGCGTCAGCTGATGTTACCTATATTTCAATAAGTCTTGTATGGTCAGTAAAAGTTACACCAACAAAGGAACAGAATAAGTGGAATAATATCCCTGTTGTGTTGTGATGGGAATGTTAATGCTCTAGAAACCCTCAAAACAAGAAAAAGACCTGTTCCCCATTATGCAATTGTGTAAAATATTTTGGGAAGAAAATCTGTCCAGCCCATTCCTCGTCTTACCATTATGGCAGACAGCCCTGAAACACCAATCAGGCAGCCCATGCCAGTGGTGTAGCTCGGGTCCATCATGAAGGGCACCATGCCGCCCACCGAGGCTGCCAGCAGGCTGGCGTTGAGATAGTGGCGACCAGGGAGGAGCAGGGGGGCAGAGTTCAGGAGCCCTGAGTCCCGTCAGCGAGAAAACATTTCAGAAAGACAATACACAGACACACTCAAAACAGAGCACACCATAGCTGAACGATATAGACAGCTTAATGCTAATCTCTGGGTATTACAGAAAAAAATCAGTTACTGGGGAAATTATGAATGCTCTCGAGTGACTAAAACATTTGGAAAGTTTATTGGTTACAGGCCACGGAGCTTTGGCAGGCGGGACAGCCTCAGAATCTGCTCCGAGTTAGCATAGCTCCACAGAGACCCACAGGGGGAGCTGTCTTCCAGCTCATGAAATTACATCAAAATTTAGGAACACATTGCATCTACAAAAGAAGCTGTACTTTACTTATGAAATAAAAAAAACACCAACAAAAACTACAACAAATCAATGATGCCTGAAACCTCCACAGTCCTTTCTTTTCTGAAAAATTCCAATTCGACTTTATATCTAATGGTCTCTTTCCAGAAAAAGCTGTTGTTTTGAGTCAAGTTTGTCAACACACCACACAACAGGCCTAAAACAAATCTGAGCCATTCCTCCCAGCTGCAGCGGTTTCAAAACAATCATGTTTGTTGCAAGATCCTCTGGCGGTCCAGAAGAGACGCCACCCCCCCTCCCCCGCCCAAAAAAGAGGTACTTTTCTTTTGCTTAAAATTATATAAGAGATCGAAACGTACCTTGAAGCTTCCCATAGGCCACCAGGGAGCCGCTGAATGTGACCCCCCCGATGTAGGTCCCCAGGTAGGCCACCGTCTTCACCATGTTGGCTGCGGGGTGGACGTCGAGGTGAGGGTATTCGATCATGAACTCGGCAATACAGGTGAGCACCGCTGCCAAGCCCACCAGGCTGTGGAAAGCAGCCACCAGCTGAGGGAGGTCAGAGATCTCAATGCGTTTGGCAATGGTCAGACCTACCACAAGAACATATCGGATTTCAGCTCAAGACAAATCCTGGCTTTCTTCTGGGATATGTGGAGGTACAGCTCAAAGCAACAGCAAGTCAGCATTCTCAAACGATTATGGCACTTACTTGAAAGACATTATTACTATAGGATCCAAAAGCTGTAAAATGCAGGATGATGGATAAAAATTCAAATCCACTGAAAAATGACTGCATTTAATAAAGGATTAGTACCCTTGGGCACAAAGTGGAAAACAGCATGAAGAGTTCAAAGCGTGCAAATACCAGAAAAAAACCAAAGTAACACTAAAGATGACCAAGCATAAGGAAAAACCCTGGGGACTGTCAAACTGAAGAAATCTGTACAGTATATTTGAATTGTGATTTCTCCCAGCTGCTTCAGATTGAGAGCAAAATAAATCCTCATTAATCATGCCTAAAACTAGTAACATGTTCACTGTGAGATTAATATGTAATCCATACAGTTAAAAAAAACTTTCCAAAATAAACTTCTGAATCAAAGTTTTTAAACAGTTAAAAGACTCTTTTGCTAAATGTCAGGAGTTCTGCACAAAAGCATTGTGCTTAACAGGTATTCTGGAAGGGGATAAAATTACAGTATCTTTAGCACATGCAGACGTCCTACAGTACTTAACTAATATTGTTAAGTTGTTAAATTGTGGAAAGGTGTCAGCAGATCGTTTTATTATTTTATGATTAAGTACAAATCCAGAGTTATTTGTGGTAAGTATTAGATTCTCTAACACGGGCCAAGCAAATTACTAATCAACAAACAACACGTAGATCCTAAATATCAGTTCCTGTAGGTGCACATGTTTGTGAACTAAAGAGATTAACAAAGACACAATTGTTAAAAAACACTCATGCCCAGATCCCAACAGAAGGTGTTTCGGATACAATCTGCAGAGACATGGAGGAGCTAAAATAGTGTACAGACCTAAGGTGCCTCCTGTCGCCATGGCCAGGGACATCTGGGAGAGTAACTCAGGGGATGGTTTAAGTGCCCCCAAGGTGGCAGCAATTCCCCCTGCCACGCCAATCATTCCTAGGGCATTCCCCAGCCTGGAGGTCGTCGGGGTTGAGAGCCCAGCTAGTGCCCCCACACAGCACAAGCCTGAGCCCAGATACATCATCTGCAAACAGAGGTCTGTCACATGGCTGACCAAAGAACGACATCACGTGCACACTGCGAGGAACTGTAGGCAAAGATGCATTGTAAACTCAAAAAAGGATAGATTTACCTGCTCAATATTGTACCCACTGGCAACAGAAGCTCCATAACCACCCACAAACACTGTTCCAGGTAATAAATACAGGTAGTTGTATTCTGGGGGGTCTGTCGGGCGTTTGAACATGTCAAGCATCCTCTGTGTGATCAGAAAGCCACCTGCAGGAGATAAGGCATCAAGAACTTCAAACACAAGCAAAGGTTTCCTGTTCACAGACCTCTAGGATGATCATCATCGCTGGCCTACAAAGACTCAGAGAGATGCAGCTAGTGTGTAAACAGATAACAAGAATAATGGTTTAATAATGCGGTGCAAGGCTGCTGAGCTGAAGGGACGCACCTGCGATGTTGATGGAGGACACAAAGGCAGCGAGTAAGGCCAGAGTTTCGGGGAGGCTGGAAGGGGTATATCCTCCCCCCATCAGCACCAGGCCCCCCACAGCCGTGAGACCTGCGGGGAGTCAGATACACTGTAGTACTGCTTCTCACCACACTCCCGCTGAGAATACCGAACATTCCTGACAACGAAGCATCTCCTGAATACAAAGCGAGATTACAGATTGTCTGGGTATCCCAGTATGGAGGGCAGGATATTCCTTTACTCTTCCACACACTACAGGAATATTACCCTGCAGCAAGCAAACTGGTGCAGATGGAATGACGTTCATAAAGTAAAAAAAACATAATTGAAAAATAACAGTAATATAAATCTTCTAATATGCATTTTGAATTGTTTATTAAATGTTAAAGCCATTATATACTGTATGTTGACCAGTATTTAGAAGAGTAGAATAAACATTAAAAACCTGGTGTTGGTGTAACAGAAAACTAAACTGAAGTGTCTGAACTGGTTTTAAAAAAATTGTTTAAAGGATTTAAGCACTAGGCTTTGGAATTCCAAATCACAGCAAATGGACTTAAAAAGCACATTTCAGTCACAGCCACTGTTTCCAGTGAATGTCTCCCTATCCAGGTTTCCACATGGAGGAGCCAGTCGGACATCGGGTTAGAGACAGTGCTTACCTGAAATCGCGTTAGTGACTGACATCAGTGGGGAGTGCAAGGCTGGCGTGACACCCCACACTGTGTGGTATCCAACTATCCCAGCCATTCCGAAGGTGGTTACCATCTGGGTGAAAGCAGCATTAGGTGAGGCCAGGCCCAGGCCCAGGACTCCTGTTAACCCTACAACACAGGAGAGCACCCTCATTCCCACTCACCTGGTATAGCTTTGAGACAGTTTCTCTTAAAAATTTAAAATTACACTATTGACTGACTGAGACTGAGTGGGCAGCCTAATGGGCAAATCAAATTTCTTCTTATTTATTTGGTTTACAATCTCCAAAGCACTGTACATTTATGCCCATTTCTACAGCTAAATGAAGAACCTTGATCAAGAGCTCAACTGCAGCGTCTCAACTGGGATTTGGACCCAGAACCACCCAGTTACAAGTAAGATTATTTCCAAAAATGCAGGATTAATCTGTAGTCCATTTCAGAGGGGCTTCACTAATACCTAATCAGGTGGACCTGAAAGGACAGGTCTTCTTACGGTCTTGAAGAGTGGTCGGTGTTTTGTTATGGCCCCTCACCTGCGGTGTAGACACCGGCAGAGGTCATGGTTTTTCTGAACGGGGAGATCTCTGCTAGTCTGTCTGCCTCCAGCTCGGCCACTGTCTTCTGTTTAGCAGGAGCGGGAGGCGGGACAGTTTTTGGTAAAGGGGCTGGGAAGAGAATCTTGCCTTCCTGAAGGACAACAGGAAGGAATCAGTCAGGTTTAATGCACTCCTTGGCTCAGTGAAAGCCTTACAAATCTTATTAATGTGACAAAATGTTTCATTGTACATGGGGATTGCATCCAGTTGACTACAAGCAGTGATGCATGCAACTATAGGGGATGTCTGTTCTCAAAATGTGTAACATTAAGAAGATTTATGCAAGTGATAGTTTTAGGAATTTCCTTCAGTCAACTTAATATTTGAAAACTACAGTATCTGGTTGAGTCATTGAGATTTTGGCACAACTACAGAACCTTATCTCATGCATAAATGAACTTCTTATCCACTGCAACTTGGTGTGTCCACCGCAGGAGACATTTCCACACCCTGAAGCCTTCGGCTCTTTGTACAATTTACAAGGTGACAATAAAAACAAAAAAGGATTGCCAAGTAATATTTAACAGATTAAGTTCCTTCAAGCACGCGGGAAGGCTTGGACTGGAGTGAAGCAGTAGGTTTAATTTATAAAAACCCGATATCTCTTGTGCTGCTGGTTAAGAAAAAGACATGCATTACAGCTCAGGGTTCGAGGACCAGTGGAAAGTCAACAGCTGGGATTTTCAGGCGAGCAAGAAACTCACCTGCATGACTGTGGTGCCCCGGATGACGTGGTCAACTGTTCCATAATCAAACTCATTCTTGGGCTCAAAATAGAAATACTCCTTGTCGGGACTAATGGCTTTCAGCAGCTTCAGGACATTATTAGAATACAAAGTACTGGACTGAGTGGGCATTCTGCTGGGCAGATCAGAGTATCCTATATGCGTCACCCCCTGATAAAAGACATGGAGGTAAAAAAGGAGGATTACCAAGTGTTTGCATTGTTGTCTTACTCCGAGTGTGCATTTGTTTGTAATATATATATATCCAATTAATAAAAGACATCTCTTAGTATCGCCCACCACACCCATCTTTAATCAAAGGCAATGTGTGAAGGGTGTGACGCTGGCCTTTAAAACCTCCTTTTTGCAAACTGACATGATGGTTCTCGTTATGAAAAAAACAGCTGCACAGTTAAGCTATATGAATGCAAATTTGAATCAAGTGCAATGCCTTTATCTTACTCAGAGAAGAAAAAACAACAGCTACTGAACATCTGCTTCTGAATGTACTGCAGAACACAAGAAAAGCGTGATAAATAAAATGAACATAAGGAATATACATGAATTTAAAAGAAAGTAAGGGTAACATTTCTGGAATCTGGTGTTTTCAGATTAGTTCAATTAATGATTATCTTGGTACATTCATCCATTTCCTAACTGCTTCTTCCAAATCAGGGTGGCAGACAAGCCAGAGCCTAGCTCGGCAAGCACTGGGCACAAGGTGGGATACCAGGTCCTGTATCCCACATCAATGCTAACCATTGCACCACTGTACAGCCCTGTCTTGTTACAGTTTCCACCTTAGTGTGAAGCAAAATTTAATGTCTTACCTTGTAGATGTGCAGCTCTCCTGGTTTGGTGGTTTCAATGTTTCCCCCAGCTTCAGCAGCAAGATCAACCACCACTGATCCATCTTTCATGGACTCAATCATGTCTCTCTTAATGAGGATAGGGGCTCTTTTTCCTGGGAGACAAGGCGAGAAGAACAGGCTGGTCTAGGAAAGTCCTGCACAAACTGCTGAGATCTAAGATCTGTTACCAGCGCAGTAGGCTGCCTGCAGTCTAGATAGAAACCTCACAGATCACACAGCAAGCTTTTTCAGAGGTCATCTTACGTCACAACTAAGCTTGCTATTGAGGTAACAGTGAAAAAGAACAAGTTTGTTTGGTGGGAATGTAAAACACAGAGTGTGCAGTTAAAATAATAAATGGAGGATTTCATGGAAGTTACTACTAGTACAGTGAAAACTATGCACTCATCTAGTTTATTTGTATAATAATTTCTCTGGGGAGTTTAGAAAGTTTTATGTGTTGTTGTAGAAAAAAACATCTCAAACGCGTTTAAGACTAATTCGTAATCCAGGCATCTCCAGCCTTGGTCCTGGAGAGTCCCAATCCAGTTAGTTCTACAGGTCACTTGTGGCTAATCATTAAAAAAAATCTGTCAGCTGTAGATGAGTCAAACGTACAATGTGATCAATTAAGAGAACTCAGGTCCTTGCAGGCTGAAGAGTACTGAGATTTTAGTCCTCTATGATTTCCAAACTACTTTATTTTACCATCCACCTGTTTAAATGATCACAATACAATTGTCTTGTATCTTCACGAACTGATGTTCCACAGAACCTGCTGGATTGGGGCTCCCCAGGACCCAGGTTGGAGCCCCCTGTCCCGAGGACGCACAGAGACAAGAAAGGTCACCTGGAATGAGAGCAGTGCTGATAATGATGTCCACATCTCTACACTGCCTGGCAAACAGGGCCATTTCTGCCTCGATGAACTCCTTGGACATCTCCTTAGCGTAGCCACCCACTCCTTCCCCGGACTCGGCCAATTCCACCTCCAGGGGCTCCACGCCAAAGGACCTGAACTGCTCCAGGGCAGCCGGCCTGTGGGGCAGCGACAGGTTTTCAGGCCAATGTGGTCAGTGCACGCCCAGAACAGTGCTACAGGTAGTCCAGGTAAAACTGAAACCAACAGGTGGGCTCAATTCACGCCTACCTGGTGTCAAATCCTCGGACGACTGCTCCCATGGACTTGGCAGCCCCTGCAGCGGCTAAGCCTGCCACCCCCCCGCCAATTATTAAAACCTGGCAAGAAGAGAAAGCTCGCTTATTACTAGAGCAGGCTTCCTGGGTGTGTGGGCCAGTAACAGTGCCCAACTGAGGAGCCCATCAGGCCCAGCCAGCCATTCCATGACCTGGAGCTTCAGGGTGAGCCAGCTGTGACTGGAACTCCTCTGGGGAGCCCGGCAGAGTGCCGACAAGGCTCAGTTAGGACCAAAGACAACCGCTTCCACCCTCTCCCCACTGCAAAGAGGCAGTGCATTGAGGGGGCGAGCGGCGTGAACAAAGCCGGTTTTTCCAATTCAATTCAAGCTTTATTGTCCCCTAGGGGAAATTTGTTTTACGGCACAGTCAAATACAACACCATGACAAAGACACATCATCAAAAGGGAAGAGAATACAGTAGTGTTACAGAGGAAAAGAAACAAGAGACAAGGTAGTTACTTTGCATTGTTTAAGAGTGTAATTGCAGTGGGAATGAAAGATTTCCTGAGTCTGTTGGTTTTACACCTGGGGGCACAGAGGCGTCTCCCAAATGGGAGAAGTGTGAATTCGCAATGGAGGGGGTGAGACACACACTCCGTGATGCGTGTTATGCAGGATGAGTGGGACATCAACCTTCTTTCAAGCGCCAGCGCCAGGGCGGCCACCGAACCGTACCATAGTAATTGAGTACCAGCCATTCCACATGGCACAGGGGGAGTGGGCATCAGAAAGGAAAACTAAGAACTAAATATCACGTCGAAGGGAGGCTGAACCGTTACCACTGCACTTGCTCTTGGCACATTCAGTGCCTTTGCTCAGTGGAATCCAGTCAGGATTCATCCCACAGTCCAAAGATATTCTAGTAGGTTAAGTGGTTTCTGGGAAACCTGGCGCTGGTGTGAGTGTGTGCGTGTCGGCGTCTGTGCGTGCCCTGCAATGGACTGGTGTCCCATCCAGATGGTTTCCTGCCTTGCGCCTGTTGTTGGCAGGAAAAGCTCCCGACCTGCCAACGACAGGCACACACCCGACCATGAATTGGAAGAAGTGGATAGAAAATGGATGGTTTGATGTTCTCTTGTGGCTACTTGAATCTGCCTCTCTTAAAGCATTCCTTTCTTTTTGTGCAGAAGTTCTCTCCAGAGTTTGACAGCACTGTGAAGATCTGGCTGGCACTGACTGTCACTCAGGGCGATAGTGTTACACAGTAATTAGACGGCGAGATCGGTACCTTGGCCGGAGGCACTTTCCCTGCAGCTGTGATCTGGCCAGTGAAAAATCTTCCAAAATGATTTGCTGCCAGGACAACAGCCTTGTACCTGAATGACAAGAGCATGCTTGAAGCGTGATTTACTCCTTCATCTGGGAGACTTTTAAACTATTTCCATATGAAACCTAAACAAGCCTGCTGAGTTTCAAATTTTGTCTTGTAGAGTAACTGTACTTTTTCTCCCCAAAGTGTCAATAAAAAACACAGAGTTTGCAGAAGGTATCTGAACTCCTGTTGCTTTCACCCATTTGTATCCATTTTAAAACGAGAATATTAAACTCGTTAAATGTTTCGGCCTGCCCGATCTGATATTCTTTTGGAACCGTTTTTTTTTTTTAAACTTCAGGTATACATTGAGGCATCAAAAACAATGCAAATATTACTGGTAGTTTGGATGGGTTTTGAGCACACAAAACTAAAACGCTCACACAAAAAAATCCACCAGCAAAGACAAATCCTGGAAACCAGATAAATGTCCTTTCCTATTGATTTTCTTACATATTCAGTTCATTTAACTCATCTGGCACCCTGACACACTGCAAAGACGTGCACTACCAAGCATAGGAAGCCTGCAGTTTATTTCAGAGCGGTCTGGTTGTTACTCACCCTGCTATGTTAGCCATGGAGCTCAGGGCATCATATCCTTGAGCAATAGTGACCCGAGGCACCTGGTCCATTGCGAGAACAGTGGCTTGCTGCTTGGAGAGCTTCTCCATGAGGTCAGGATTTTGCGCTGGGTAGATGAAGCTCACAAGAGTGGCCTTTGGTTTGAGCAGCTCAGCTTCGTGTGTTCCCAATACATTATTAAATGTTGGAGCTCTTACCTGGGAAAGGCAGAAAGTTAAAACACACTGATGTTTTCATCAGAGTGTGTCAGAAGCATGTGTTGTACTCCTAAACCAAAATTTTTATCCAATTAACTTGCATTATATCATACATATTCATGACAGTTAGCCCCCCCCGAGCACAAACCCTGCCCAGGGTGCTTGTGTGTGGAGTCTGCATGTTTTTGTGAAGAAACTGGAACAACATGGAAAACAAACAGACTCCACACACAAGTACCCTAGGCAGGGTTTGTACCAGAGTTAACCTAAGTCTCTAAATTGTGCTCTTGTGCGCACATATCCTAGAATGAGCAGATTTCCAATGATATATATGTGTAATAATCTCAAGCAAGCAGAAATGATAACAAGCTTCAGCTTATCACTGCAAGCAGTTTGTTTTATTAAAAAACATTTGTTGCCGATAAGGACATTTTTATAGGATCATTTATTAAACTCGCATTTTGTGGAAGAACTTGCAGATAATTATTTTGCGAGAGGATACCGATACAATTATTGCAATAACTCAGTGGAGGAAAATTACATCAGACAAACAAGTCTTGCTTCTGTTCACAGAGTACCTGTAAATGCAGGCTTTTTCCAAGCTGGTTCTTAATAAAACTAAATAAATGAACAATTAGGTAAAGAGCCATAAACTTGACTTGCCTTCAGAACAAGGTCTGAACCAAAAACAGTCTTTGTGTCCCCTATCTTGGCACCTGCTTCTCTGTACTGGTCGTCTGAGAACTTCGCCTCGTCTCCGGCGCCCGACTCCACCTGGACATTGAAGCCCTGTTTCACCAGGGCCTGCACCCCAGCCGGGGACACAGCCACCCTCCTCTCGTTCTTTGACACCTCTTTGGGGATTCCAACCAGGATGTCCGTGTAGCGAACCCCTGCACCAGAAACAAGGCTCACAGAATTTTCTCTCACACACATCTTTTGAAATGCTCATTTGTAGATCAAGAGACCAATTTTAACCACTACCTTTTTGCCCATTAGTTACCCAATTCCACGAGTTCCCAACCCTGCTCCCGGGAGCTCTCATTCCTGCTGGTTTGTATTCCAGTGAAGCTTAATTATTTATTGTCCTTTATTGAGCTATCAATTTGCTTGATATCAACATTTGCAAAGTTTTTTTTCCTCTACTTATTTCTGAATGTTTATGGAATAGTTAACAGGGAGCCTGCAACATATTCAAGAGCAGAAAACAAATAGTTCAATTTAACCCTATTAACTGAATTAAGGGTTAAATTTTGTAAAGGAGCGTGACTGAAAAAACAGCAGGTGTGTGGACCTCTGAGACCAGGATTGGGAACTCTGTCTCAGTCCATCTCACTACAGAGAGCAATTGGATACATTTCTATGTTTCTGCAAAATGCGATGGAATAAAAGCAGTGGAGCTCAATTAACTAAGTATTGGAAAAAAATTGATTTTAGACATTGTAAATTTGTTTTGCTAAACATCCTCGGACCTCAAGTAAGCATAAAAACAGGAGGCTTTGCCATATTCACACATGTCAACATGAGCACATTAAGGGCCTACATTTTCAAAAGTTGTTTTTTTTCCTCCCCACTTGTTAAAATGAGCCACAGCGCAAGGAAAGAGAAAATTATCTTAAACAGACTGCACAGACCTCAGCCAGCCGCCCTTGAGATTTTCCAGGGACACTCCAGTTTCACATATCTCGCCTTAATTGGCAGGGTGACTTCTAAGTGTAGCGAGACATTATTAGCAGCTGCTTGGCATTCTGCCCACCACCGCTCCTGCAAGGGCCCGAGCGGCTTGTCAGCCTGCCTGGGAAACGGCCCTGAAACCCTCACTCCTTAATAAGCAAAATAAATAAGCAAACGAAAGTGAACTTCAGGTTGTGGAGCCTTGGAGCAGAGCTGGGACGCTGCAACAGCTGAGCACATATGGTCAGCCAGTATTGGAAGCAACAATGTCTTTCACCTTTGAGTGACCTCTCTTACTTTTAAACAGGGAATCTTGTCAAAATTACAAACCCACAGTTTTTCCTGTACCGAGAGGTAAAAAAACAGCCCCCTCAGCCTCCCTCCGACTGCTTAATTTTTTCCAGTTGTCTACAGAACTGCTCCTGACCTTCTGATTGTAATGAAAAAAACACAAAGAAAATCCTTAGATGAACCTGCGGCTCACTGGGTCTCTTTCCTGCTAGTAGAGGGAGCTAAAAGAGTCCGTCAGTGGTGGTGGACATGATTCAAAACACAAAGTTAGGACAAGTCTCGGACTTTGGGGCATTGACCTTACCTTTAGCAGTTTGATGGTTCCATAAGACGGGAAATGTCCTGAAATATCTTCTTCCAGGCGTCTTTGGCAGTGCGCCCTGGTGGAACAGGGGCACAGAGCAGCTGGTGACACAGCGCAGGAGGCAAGCCATGGTGTCGCAGACTCCTGCGGCTTCTAGTCCAGGTGTCCTGAAGGTAAAAATGGGAACTCAAACACAGGCCAGGCCTTCAGATGTCAACATGCCTCCCTGGCACTTCCAGATAACCTCCAGGACAGCCGTGTGACGTTGCAGTGCACCAGGACACAGAGAGATCACCCGGCTGTTTGCTACAGATCCGCGAGAACAGGAAATGTGACGGTGGTACGGGACACTGTGCCAAGCAGCACCTCACTGCAAGGACTGGGGACAGGGAGAACAAGCACATTCAAATCTTCCAGGCCAGAGGAAAAAAAAAAATATTCTTGGCCAGATAACAAATCTCTAGTCCCGGCACAGAAGGTGACCTTCGATTTCCCACCAGTACTGAAAGCGGTGAGAAACATAACAGTCATGTTGCACAAGCAATTCGCTTTTAAGAGCGTTTAAAAACAAAAATGGAGGAGCAAACCGCAATTTTTGCGATAAAGCTTTTTAACATTGGAAAGCTTGAATGCTTGTTTTCCAGATGCACCTGCCTTTAACCAATGACACAGAAGGAAGCCCTGTATTGAAAAGCAGGATTTTGAGAGGAATCGGGGCCTTTTTGAGCTGTATGAGACACTGATATGCTTACTGGTTTTGAGCTTCACAGTTGAATGAAAAAGATCTTGTTCAGCTTTATTTTCTAGTTCATGAGAACAGCACATTCAAAATATTTTCAGATACACAAATTACGACTAAACTTACAATGATCAAATAACAATCAGGCACCAAATTTAATGCAAATGCCCTGGTTCCTGCTGATGCATTAGAACTCAAAAGTGTTGATTTCAGTGCAACTTTGTTAAGATATACAACATATTCATAGATTGAGTTGAAAAGCAGAATCAAAACACTCCATAGCCTTCCAATCCATCAATATATAAACTGCACAGCAAAATGTTCAACTTACAGAGGAGTATGTTGCTCACAAAAATCAGGAAATTTCTCCAAATAAAAGCAGCATACATTTCTCTGTCTTTACCACCTGTTTTCCAGAAATAATGTGAAGCACAAGGAACATAAGATGAGAAGAAAGGGTGCAAAGGAGAGGAGGACATTCAGCACATCATTCTCATTTGGAAGTTTAGTAGTCGAGTGAAATTTAAGATCCCACCAGCTGATTCTTAAGAGTGCCTGGCTAAGGTCTCCCAGGCGGCTCCGCAGGTGAGCTCTATGATCCTGGGTTCGAGTCCGGGTCATGTCACTAGACTAGCTAGCTGCGACTGGGACTCTCCAAGCCATGGTGCCCCATTCCCTGAGCTGTGCTGAGGGCAGGGAGGAGCGAGTAGGCCAGGGTTTGCTCTCCTCTCAGCTACACCGCGCTCTGTGCTGCCTCCTGGGTAGTCACAGGCTACAGTGCTGTCAGTGAGGGATGCACCTCTCCTCCAACTGGCGTCGAACCCCGAAGTACGGGGCTGTACTGCCTGTGACGTGTTAATTAACGAGCAGATTGAAGGCGGGGAGGTTGGAGGAGTCTGGTCACATCTCCACAACTCTCCCGTGTGCACTCAGGGGGTTTATAGCTCAAGCCATGACAAAAAACACACACAACTGGTGATTCCAAAACTGAAGGGATACAGCAAAACAGAACTGCAATTATTAAAATAAAATTATCCAGAGTATAGACCCCAGCCTGGCTGAGAATCATTCAATTCTTTGAGGAAACAAGGGTTTCCTATTCGCTGTCCTGTTAATTTCCTGTGTGGCTTTCTTTATGGAGTGTAAAACAGTCTGCCGACTGACTCTATCAATACCCCCAAGGATCTTCTGTACTTAATTGAAATCTCCTCTCACTCTCCTTTTTTCTAGATTGAAGAGATTTATATCTCTTAGCCTCTCTGTATATGACAATTCCTCAGTACCAAAAATTGTTGCTCTTCTTTGAACTTTTTCTATGGCTATAATATCCTTTTTGTGGTCATGTAACCAAAATAGAACACAACACTTTGAATAAGTCTCACTAATGCATTATACAGCTGAAGCATAACTTCATAACCACATTTAAATTCCACATTTTAGCTAAACACACAGCTCCAGTGTTACAGTGAATGTTTCTGTACCAGCAGGGAACACTTTGCACTTACAGTATCCATGTTAAATTTATTTATGTATCTGCCAAGGCCCTGATTTTCCTAAATCCCTTTGTAATTCCCTTGCTGTCATTTCTGTTTGCCTCACACTCTATTTTTGTACCACTGTATGTTAAAGACATAAAATTGCCTTGATTTTGCTCTCATAGTATAAGTTGTACTGTTCACTACAGTTAAGACACTGTTATTTCATCTTTGGGGTATGCATACATTTTTGTTATAAAGATTTTATAAATAAATGTTTATTATATTTGCTGTAACTACTTCAGATGCAAAACTCTTTGTGCACTTAAATTTTGTTGACTTTTACAGAACAGAGAAAGTGTGAGCTCTCATGTCCATTTGAAACAAAGCTGATTACTCCCGGACGGTCAGGTAGAACAGCGTCGAGATATAGAGCCACGTAAGAACTTTTTCAAAAGCCCGACAGAAGAAACAGAAACATTTTGACTTCACTAGAGAGACGCGCACACATAAAACGGTTCACCTCAAATAGCTACAGTACTAACCTGGGTCGTGCGCCTTATGTAAAGTGTTGTTAAGGGAACCAAGTTAAATATTACACATTCTTTCAGCCGCAGTGACCTTCACGTTGACGCTGGTGCCTCAGAGTTTTCGATATTCAAGCTTATCGGCTATAAATAGTCGGAACACGTGACACCAAGTAGCTCTCCTGCCGAGTGTGAAACTGACCCGACAGTGAGTCCAAAGCAGCACACAACACTGCTAATATTCTTCATTCTCTTTGCACAATAAATCACGCAGACATTTTAACTTTGGTCGTCTCTTCATTTTTGCATCCAGCGGCTTCGGTTGCTTAGTCCATCTGAGTGTACATCACTCAGGTGTGCGCACTTGGTGTCACATAGTAAATCTGAATGGATTTCACCCACACTTCAGCTCTTTGCACACACACAACTGGTCCGTTTATTGAAAACAAAAATACTACAAAAAATAATCCTCATCATTTTAATATTAATTGCTTTAAGGAGACCTATTTTAAACTGGGTTATTTCTTACTCTGTGTGGGATTAGGGAGTAATTGAATTTAAATTACGTGTTAATTCATGAGCTGTTTTGATCATGTGTTAATCCAGAAATTAAAACGACCTACAATCAATTAATTAAGACTAAGAGTGGGAGGGAGTAACTAAACAGTTGTTAGATTGTTACTCTTAATGTATCAGGTATTAGTTTTACAACTGAAGAACATGAGTTATTTAGACGTTTGGATAATTTAACTCATTATAATAAGCAATATCTAAACAGGTTAAAAAAAGAGGTATTATTGTGATATTTTGTGTGCAGCTCAACAGCAACGGCCCAGCCCGGGTTTCTCGCGTACTCACAGAAGATCCCCATCGCCATCTCCTGGTAACTTCGGGACCTACAGCGACTCGTAACGTGCATTTCTTTCATTATTAAATACTGAAACCGAACACTTCAAAATTCTTCCCCTTGACATATAAGATGACGACGACGTTAATAATGATAATAAACAAAAGTCAACCACGAAGCAAATGCATTTCCTTTAAAAAAAAAAACCCGAATGAAATTTCACCATCGCTGTCTTCCAACTCTAAATAATCCACTATTTCTCAGTCCCTACCCGGAGAGTAATAAATATTTACATATATACGATTCATGTTCTGGTATTAAGGTTAAGATGTGACATTCTTTACAAGTCATTACTCATAATATTTCCAAAACTAATGGCCTCCTCGCGTTTGTACGACTATGTTCTGGTCACTTTATTAAAGGAAGTTACTTGCAACATCTCAGGGTAGGGTAGCTTAGGGTAAATCTTACAATTAGATAATTACACGAACTGTGTAGGTGAGCGCTCAGATGGGAACAACGATCAAGGGATCTTACAGGAGCTCTGGTATTTATTTCCATTTTTGGTTGCAAACAAAACAGTAGTCTGCAAAACCCTCAATGGTGAGAATTTTTTTTGGGGGGTGGGGAGGAGCGAGTACAACAAGCACAGTATTAATGGGAAGCATAAAAGGTCGACATTGGTATAATCTGTAAACAATATATTTCTGTAAAACTGTATATATGTCAAATAACTTAAGGACAATTATTTACACATCATTCCTCAAGGCGTATAAAAAGAAGAGTAACGTACAGTATGTATCAAAACCCATGCATCTGTATACAGTCAGGAGGTTCCATTCAGCAGAATACAGAAAAAAAAACATTGAGAGCTGTTTTTGTGTACAGTAATGTATAGAAAATTACATTTTTGCACATTCCTTAAATATATTAATAGTAGCCAACATGTGGCTTGTAAAAGTTTGTTTTGAGTATTTACAAACAGTTTACATCTTTAAAAAATCTCATGAAGAGTGTATAAAAAACAAACTACATTTTCATCTCTTACAAATGTGAAATGTACTCCATGAGGTAATGCATATTAGGCATATAAGGTCAAGAATGTGTACATAGCAATCCCTAAATCTTAAAATTAATAGACAATATCTGACTGAGAACACATTTCAAACATGTACAGTACAGGAATATGATACATAAATATGCAGAATGCAAGACACTGTCTTTCAAGTGTGTTTCAAAGATAAATATGGATTTTTTTCTTTTGAAAGAAAACTAAAAAGGCACAAATTATCCCTTCAAAAAGAGACATAGAAATGGGTTCAGTCTTTAAGCAAAAATGTTTTAAAAAGTAAATATACTGTATGTATTCAAAATAGAACTAACCTGTGCATTCTAGAATATTTTGTTTTTGAGTGTTTGGCAGATGGTGACATCATAAATGTGCAAATTAAATAGGAATAACTCTGCGTGGTTCACACTGGAAACGTGCATGAGTTGTACTTTGCTTTTGGCTTTAAAAAAAATTACAAGCATTTGATTAAGAAACAAGTGCAGACAAAAATAGACTGTGCATAGGAAGATACACATTATCAGTGGTCACTGGCAGAACCTCACGCTGCTGTATAAGCAGCTGTGTGGAAAAACTGCTAACAGTGTGTCCACATGCTGTGGTCTACTAGTGTTTGAGCAATTCTGAAACAATATATTTGAAGAATGTTAATGACACTTCTGCCTTTACATACTACAGTACCTATTTGCATTGTTTTAAAATTCTGCAGCATCTTAAATTAAAATCAAGTCTCTGCCTGCAACATTAGTCACAATCAAGTGTATCATAATATCGTTTACCCTCAATATACTGTAAGTCACAATATTTTGTAATAAAAACAAAATCTTCAAGCATTCAGTATTTTGACATTCGATATGAGCTGTAGTATTTGGTGGGGTTGGATCAATCTTAGCATTATTTAAAATTTGCAGAAGGAAAGAAAAAGTGCACTGTTTCTCAAGCAGAAAAAAAGTGAGCCTGGGGATAATAGTCTAGGTGTCTCAACATAAAAACTGCAATGCAGAACTGCACCTCAGCTACCTGGACACAGAAACCGCTCTCCTGCTCGTACCGCAGCCACACAAAGTGGATAAACGAGCAGTCAGGAAAGCACCGCGATGACGTCTGCTATCATTCGTTGACAAGATAAAGCCTCGAGTTACTCAGAGGACAGGTTAGTCTCCAAGTGCACACATGCACTGTCTGCAGCATGGAGAACTCACACCTGCATTGGCATACCAAACCATGTTGGCAAAGCAGTCTGACTTTGGTTTAAGTCATGGGCCTACAAATTCCCCAAACAAGTTTTTTCGGCCTAGCTGATATCCTGAGGGCCTGGGTGCTGTTCCTTGAGCAAGGTATCTATTCGGATATACACCCGGGAGTAAGAGTATGTACTAGGAGGGGAGAATGCAATGAATGCTACTTCAGCCACATACTGTACCTAAAACCTTGCCAAACAGTGCTAATCTGAGTGTACTGAATCTCCATGCAGGGTCGCAGAACAGGATCAGTGCCTTGACTGCAGGCGGTACAAAGGGCTCTGTGAAAGTACCCAGTAGAAGGCAGCCATCCTGTGCGTATTTCAGATTTACAGTCCTGATGTAGGAGACTGTCGTCTTTTGAAAGGACAAGTTCAGGTCTCTGCAGTATTTATTGAAGTGACCGAGTGCAATAGCAAGTATGGCTGAACCGAAATCAGAAAGAAAAAAAAAACTTCAAATATTCAGCATTTTGAATTATTGTCCTGTCTAATGATGGAACTGCAGTATCTTAAAAGGAAACTTTACTGTACATTCTGTTCTGAATTTGCATGGGTAAAATATGATGGACTACACTGTCCTGTTTTCTTTCACTAGATCTCTCATATTACAGATTGAATTATTGATGTCAGCAGCAGACACTGCTGCCCACTGTGGATTTAAATGCTCTTCCCAACCTGCAGAACCGCAGAGCCAGGGCTGGAGGGAAGCGAGCTGGTCTTTTTGGGCTGCTAGTGCTCTTTATCACCACATGGAAAATGCAAGCGTTTTGAAACACCTGCTGATATATTTTATAGGGCCTCTTCTTCCATAGAGGTTGCATTGGAGAGCTAGGGCTCAGTCAAGACGCGTGCTATATAATTCTGCACAGAGTCAGTGCTGTCAGAGGCTGCTGGGTGCTGGCGCACAGTGCCATGTGTCACTCGGGGTGCTGCTGTCGGGGCGTCCTGTCGGCGCCAGTGCTGCTCGAGGGGTCAGTTCTTTTCTTAAGCAAGCTCTCAATCCAACTGGCGCTGCTCTGCACCTTCCCGGCCGGGTGTGCGGAGAACGGGTTCGGCACCTTCATGTTCTTCCCCGAGGTGATGAGCTCCCCGTAGCCCTCCTGATGGGAGAAGGCGTAGGCGGAGCGGCGGGAGCTGGTCCTGCGGACCCGCTTCAGGTTGTGCTCTCGGGGCCGCTGCCTCCTGCTGGCCTGCTGCAGGTAGCGCACCTGTGAGGGGGGATGGGGGTCAGCTTTATTCCCGGGTACAGGTCATGTGCAAGGAATGTACTCAGATGTACACAGAGACACAGAGGCATCCTCTCCCATCCTGGGCTGCTCGGCCTGCAGCTTTCTGTAGTTTTGCTACAGGAAAAAAAACTACCAAAAATAAACATTTCTACCAAAAATGGTGCCATCATTTCAAAAAAATATTTTGTGAGTAAATGGAGACTGCAGAAAAACTAGAGGGAATAACTGCGCCACTACACCTTCAACTGAGTGTGCATGAAGCAAGCTGTAGATCCTGACTACAAGCTACTCACATTTGTGGTCTTTCTAACATGGTTGCTATGTACAATAAGTGACGACAGGGTTATTAGCGGACACGATGACACCCCTGCTGCAACACTAAGATGCTAATTAAGATCTGCTTGTTTGAACTTGCTTTAATGGTTTTTTGCTCGTAACTCCTAGCAGCCTTAACAGTAGCTGTGAAGTGTGATGAGATGCGATTTACTGACTGGAGCTGCGTGGAACACAAACTTGAGTCATCGTGCCTAAGGAGGAGTATTCTGTATTTTCCACATTATAAAAGTGCTGTCAACTGATATTGTTATACATTATTTTTGCACATACTCAAGATTATTTTTTTTAAATTTTATAGGGAAACAGGCTGTAGAAGCATATTTATAAATGCCTTCTTGACTAAAAATCCAAGTACAAAATGTGTTGCTGAGAGTGCTGAAGAAGGTGCTGGGTATGTGACTGTAACTGGGTCCTGTGGTACCCCAGTCTCAGCTGGTTTTTGCCCCAACCAAGTTCTTAATCACAGGCTGTTTTATTTCAATTTTCTATCTGTGAGGCCTTTTTTTAGATTTGCTTTCAGCTCTTTAAAAATCTGCATGAGATGTGTAATTGGTATGAGTCCCATGCTAATTCTTGAATTTCAGGACTGTCCTCATTTAGGTACGCCAGCAGAAACAGAACCAACTGGACGTGAGCAGAAGGAAAAACATTGATTCACACTAAGAGTGTCACATAAGGTGTCTTTCCCACTTGTGTCTGGTCATGATCACATCAATCACCTATTAAGAGTTGCTTAGCCAGAAATTAGAGAAAACATTCTTACATTCTTGCTTAGCAAGTTGAGATACTCCATAACTTTCTGTGTGCAGAGGCTGCTGGAAACAAGGCACTGTAACTAAGATTCTTGAAAATGATTTAGTGTAGAAAAAAGGTCTGAATCAGTAATCAGATTACTCAGAGACTCTAATCAGCACAAGTGATTAAGGATACAAAGGAACAGATAAAAGATTGATTCCGTGCTGAAAAGCAAAGAAAAAGAAAAGTGACATCTAAAGAAGGCTGAAAGGTTGTGTCTCTTTTCTTTTTCTTTTCCTTTCAGCACACAATAAACCTTTACCTGTTCCTTTGCAGCCTACGCATGCTGACGCAGCTCACTACTTGAACAGACACAGGGGCCCACAGGACAAGAACCGAGAATCAAAAGTCGACATTTGTTATGACTGCTGTTCTCTATATTAAACTACAGAAAGACAAAGGAATCACAAATTGACTTGTAACAGCAGGTTTCCTACTCAGAACTGCACCTTGTCTGTCAGCGTGGGATACAAATCCACCCTCAGGAACCGGATGGCCACCACTGGCATGACACACACCACGGTAGTGAGGAGAATGACCAGCCACACGCTCTTTTGGGACAGCGAGTTCCGAGCCGTCCCTGGAATCCCACAAGAGAACAAACCCTTTGAACAGGACCGGAGTGCACAGCTCTTACACAAACAACACAACTGAATTAAAAAACATATGAAAACAAATAAAAATGAATGAAAAACACAAGAACCCTCAAAGTGACACATCTCTGAAAGTGCAAAATCAAAGTACTATTAGGATGTATCTAAGAAACAAAGAATTAAATCCTAATTATATACAATATACAATACTATACAACAGGGTCTCAACGTCTGCAAATTAACACTGGCAGAATTGCTTATTTGCTATTTGGCGTGGCTGACAGGGTCTGGGATGAAAGAACAGTAGAGCAGATGAAGCCAGGCTGAAGGTTGTTAACCGCAACTTATCTAGCTTGTGAGAGAGCCTCTCCCTGCCACCTGCCACCTGCCCAAGTACCCACTGCCCAGCGTCCGCAGCTCAATGTGGTTTCATTGATTCATTCAGTGTAGTTTCAATTTTTTGTACTCACACCTGCATTGGCATACCAAACCAAACCAGAACTCTTCCAGTTCTATGTTGGTGGCGTGGGGAATGACAGGCTGAATGACAGGGGAATTATTGCCTGTTTCATTATAGTGGACCATGCTAATCATAAAGCAGAGAGAGAAAATGCGGGCTGGCCACACAGAAGGGATGCATGTACTATAGTTTATTTGAACTTAATACTATAAGTATATTGTTGTTTCTTTTAGTTCATCAGTGTTAAAATTTACATAAAGTCAAGGCATTAGTACTTTACCATATACAGTAAAGGAGGATAGTTTATGTATTTTAACCATACATACTATGTACTGTAGTACATTGTCCAACAGTATTGGGGTTATATGCGAATTTGGTCACTTACGGATCTCTCGTTCTCTGCACCAAACCTTTGTGAATGTTGAGACCCTACTGGATATGTATTTATACAGAATATTTTAACTAGAGGTAGCTTTTTAAAGTAAAGTAAGCTTTTTATGTGAGGAAAAAAGCCAACTCAATAATTATACAACTGAATTTTGCAAAAATGAATTTTATAGGTTTATCAAATATATCAGGTTTGGACATGATATTCAGTACACAGCTGTACAATTAATATACCAGGTGCAGCATGCTTCACGCTTCTAAAATGAGTATATTACAAGACCTCCAGACTAAAATTCACATCCCTAGTTTATTAATCAGTGCACCATGCAGTTCTTTTTACTAACTGCTTATTAGCATAGTTGCAGGTCAAAGATGGTGGAGAGGAACATATATAGTATCTTAACAATACAGTCTTACCAATGAAAGGGAAATGGCTGGGGAAAATGTCAAAAATGCCATCACTGTTCATAGCAAATAAAATGGCGAAGTAAACAGCCACACTGCCCCATATGTAAAAGTGATTCACAGCTGTCCAGTAATTTGTGTCCAGCCCAATCTGCAAACAGAAAAAATATTATGCTGTCAAAGCCTCTTCTAAAAAATAATCACCTCATGCAGTTCATGTACTCAGCCACCTGATGGCGCACAATGTGTGTTTCACTGGAACAATGTGTGGAAAATAACAAGCTATAATTTAAGAGACATTAATATTTTAAAAAACCAAAATATTTCTGGGAAATTCTTCTCCTGAATATTAATGAAAAACACTGAAAGACAAACTCCATCTAACAGACTACATTAAACCCAGCTTGAATAAAATACAAAGCAATTCATAAGAACGCTGGGCCTGTTACTAGGTTTGGTTAATTGTACATTTATTAAAACTTATTAAAAACATTGCCAAACATTAGCACTGTGTTTATTTCATGCAATACAAATACAAACCTAGCTGTGTGTCTGTGGTGGTCTGAGAAGAGACGATTACGGAGCAGTTTGTTTATTTTCACTGTACAATAACTATCTTGGAGAGATTAAATTCTGTAAGACTGTGGCATACATTTATTATATATACAGCATATGCAAAATCACAATTTTATAGTGTGATTTCAATATTAGACTGTTAACACTTATATTGTGCTTCATCAATTAAGTGAAATAGGGATTTTATCACTGGCCCTTCTATTCCTCTGTCTGAACTCCGAACTATACCTGATTAACCCTCACTATCACTCTCTGAGCAGAAACCTGCTGTTGCTCAGTCCTGACAGAATATCTGACAGTTTGCAGCAGATGCAGCAGATGCTTCCAGGAACTGACAGAATCATTATGCATACTGGTCTATCCTGTGAATTAAAAACTTGCGAGATGGCCTGAAATGCCTGAGCTATATTGTCACATGTACTGCCAAACAGAACCCGCAGTGTTTGACGCGATACAGGCAGCTCATGATCCTCGGCTTCCTTATTAGGACCTCACCTGCACACTCACGACGATCACTAATGACGTTGCAATGGTCACAGCAAATGACTGCTGGTCAGAAATATGGGCGCCGTCGTCCCTCACAGTGTCCAGAAAAGCTCCATACGGGACGAAGAAGAGCACGAAGGAAGTGTAGATACCCTGCAGGGTGCACAAGAAGAACTTGCGCTTGTTGAAGAGCAGATTGAACTGCCCAGGTTCGTACATCTTTGGGTGCTCAAGGCTACTTTGTTCATTAACGTCCTAAAAAGAAAAAGGTTTACAACAGCTGTATTATCTGTCCTTTTCTAAATGAAAAAAATGAAGACTATACATCATGCAACAGAATGCTGTGAAGTATATGTAATTCAGAAGACAGGAGGTTACAGGATCAAATTCTATTTATCTCTATGATACAGGTACAGAAAGAACCTGTTGACTTCCATTTTTATTTTATGAGATTTTATGAGACATTATGAGATTTTAAGTATCTCAGAAACCAATCCACAAGGGGCTTGCATGTGAATTTCAACTTCAAACAAGTCTTACCTGGTCAAACAGTCCCATTGCAAGGACAGGCAGAGAGGTATACACTATATTGAACAGGGTGATGAACCACTGATCGTAAACTGTCTGTGAGGGCAAGAAGAGAAAATAGGTTACCCTGCTGTGGAATCATTCAGTGACGACAAAGCACAACTAGTTTTATAGTTTGTGATGAATTAAAAATAAATTAAATTTTAACACAACAGCACAATGTTTGTCTGACAGTTCCAGATCTCTCCCTACATAATGTGCCTTTGCAGTACTCTTTTTCTCTCATAGCCTGTACTGATAAGGTAGTGCCAGGGAGGCACCGAGATTTAGGAAAGGCTTCAAAGTTAATAATAAAACAAAAGTACATCTAATTATCCAATTAACTCTACTGCACAGCTGACGAAAAGCTCACTTACCTGTGCAGAAAAGCCACAGAAAAAACCAAACCAGAAGTGAACAAGAGTGAAGGCAAAGTTCTTGTAGAAGAAGTAGCAGAGGAAGTTGCACATCCTGAAGTAGGACCACCTGCCATGCACCAGCAGCAGCCTCTGGAGGTATCGGAACTGGGCGAAGGAGTAGTCACTGGCCAGCACTGCCTGCATGCCCTCCTGCCCGCTGATGCCCACACCGATGTGGGCTGCTGTGAAGGGCAAGGACAGCAGAGCTCAGCCTTGCTCCAGCTGCCAGTAAACTTGGATGCTTCGTCAAGCTCAGATTGTCGATCCTCAATTTTCAAAGCAATTTAGAGTTGCTTCTTCCAATATAGGGGTCCTGGGGAGGCAGAGCCTATCCCAGCAAGCAAAGGGCGCAAGGCAAGGTACACACTATATGGGACGCCAGTTCACTGCAGGGCCAATTCTCCCAGAAGCCAATTAACCTGCCAATATTTTTTGGACTATGGGAGGAAACTGGAACACCCAGAGTAAACCCACATGAAATGAGGGAGAACATACAAACACCACACAGACAGCACCCAAGGTTCAGAATTGAACCCACAGCCCCAGTTCTGGGAGGCAGCAACGCTAACCCCTGCGCTACCATGCCACCCTGCTCAGGTTATCCTGCAACTCAGTCCAAACTAAACTGAGTTTTGCAATGTAACAGGGTGTGGCTGACTACATCAGAAGGAAGGTGTGCCTGCTGCCTCTTCAGTTCATTTCTATTGGTTCAATACAGATTGTATTTTGAGGTCATTCTGCTCTTTTCTTACTTTGAAAGCCATCACATTTTTCTTCTGTTTTGTGGCCTCACTCTTAAAGATCCGGTTTCATTTGTTAATTTTCATTTAAAACAAAAGCCTCTGTGCTAAAACATAAGACACAGGTACCTACCTCAGCCCCTTTGGGTCCACACACTTGTTAAACAAAAACAGGAAAAGTGTAGGCTCTGATTAACACCTGGGTGGAAGAGTTGCCACCCACAGTGGGAAGCTGTTTCCACTCATATTAACTACTTGTTAGTGGCTTTAAATACAATATGCAAATATACTGTTTGTCTGGTGTCGAACATTAACTGAAATGAGTTATGATTAACTGTGTTAACCACTTTGATCTCCTTGATTTCAGGAGAAATCATTAGTGATCAGGAACACAATGGTGCTCTGTGAGTCTAATTCTTTCAAGTTGCCGCACAAGCAATTTTCCTGTAGTAAACAAAAACCTGTGAAGACCTCTGTACACTGCTGGAAGTGCAGTTGAGAATGAGATTTGAGATGTCTTGGGGAAGTCTGCATTCGTGACTTACTTTTAATCATGCTGACGTCATTGGCTCCGTCCCCTATGGCTAAAGTGACGGCCCTCTTGTATTTTTTCACCAGTTCCACCACCTGGGCCTTCTGTAGAGGTGTGACACGGCAGCAGATCACCGCCTTGCACAGGCAGGCCGTGTCCAGGAACATGCGCTCCAGATCTGCCTCCAGGGCATGGGCCTGCCGAGCAGAGAGCTGTCAGTTCGCATGGCACTGGAGCAGCGCTGCTGCACTGGGGGGTGTGAGGAGGCCCTGCCTGATAATAATCAGAAGACTCCAGCTGCGCAGCCTGACGCCCTATTGATGAAGTTCACTGTTTAGATTTTATTTGTCAAAACTGTAATTAACAATTAAAGAAAATGGACCTCCTGCGGGCACCTGCTATACAGTTCTGAACAATTACGCTGGGGCGCTCCCTGTATCACACAGGAACAAGAGCAATTACTCTACCAGGATGGATTCTTCTAATGAACACGGAGGAGAGCTGGGAGCTCCCTGCACTGCAGCACTAATGGAGCCCTTCTCATCAAGAGCTCGATAAGGCAGAGCAGACAAGAATGGGAATAAAAACTGCACAACAATATGAGATGCTCAGGTTTCCAAAATGACAGAAATTTGGCTAATAATAGTCTCCTCAGGTAGTGTGTTAAGAAAACTATCAATGCTATATTTTATCTAGCAAATTCATTAATCAACTAACAAATTGATCGATTGATTAATTGGTAAAGGAAATCTATTTAATTGTTTTTACCTACCAAGGCAATTTTTTTCAGAAACTCTATGCTATTTCATCTCCCAGCTTAAAAAAAATCAATTCAGCCAGTAAATGTTAAATCCACATTCAGAATGCTAAATATGCTGGAGGCCTGTCAGTGCTGAAGAACAGCAGTAATGAGTATCAAATAAAGCAAGGAAAAAGAACTTAGCTTGCAACACATTTAAGGGAGAATTTCACAACATACAACATAATCAAGTAACATTCTAATCATATAATACACAGAACTAATCGTATTCAAAGTCTTACTATTGCTAAGATTAACAATAATACTGACATCCACCCATTTTCTGACTGTTTTAGCCAATTTATGGTCACGGGGGAGCCGGAGTCTATCCTGGAAAGCAAAGGGCACAAGGTAAGATACACCCTGGACGGGATGCCAGTCCATTACAGGGCAGAAACACATATACGAACACACACACTCTCACACCAGGGACTACTTTCCCAGGAGCCAATTAACTTACCAGTATGTCTTCGGACTGTGGGAGATACACAGATAGCAAGCCCAGGTGCAGAACTGAACCCAGGGCCCCAGCACTGCGAGGTAGCAATGTTAGCAACTGCGTCACCATGCCACACATATGATGTTGACATACGAAATTAGAATCGTTTTTATACTGATATGAAGGAAATTATTATTCAAAGTAAATGTGTAAGAGGTCTTACCAAACTGTATCCATTGATGATCAATGCATACTCAGAAGTGATGGTTTCTTCAAAAACAGAGTCGTTCCTGAACATTTCCTTTTTCTCCAGGTTGGTATGACCATTTCCAATATCCCTACTTGGCCCAAGAATCCGCTCTTTAACTTTCCTTAAACACAAAAGAAACAATTTTTTGAAAGAATTTGCTTTGTTTGTCGGATGTAAACCAGTAAAACAAGAAGATGGATATCTATCACTCATTTTCAATTTTCATCATTCATCACTTCTGAACTTGACAGTGGATTCTACTGGGGTGATTACTCTGTTTAGGATTGTTATAAATAAATCAACTCAATTTGCAACCTTTCTATAAATCTACCTGAAACATTCTGCTTTTGTTTGGGGGATCTTAAGCACAATGATCTGGAACAAGCATAAGCAAAATTACTTCTACAAGGGGCCGTCAGCTGTATATTTGTATTTATTAGTTTCAGTTTATTGTGACCCGTTTTCCAGCTGAATGAATTGATTTGTTGGGATTCAGTTCCCTGGGTTAACGAGCTCATAAACCACAAGGCATGCTGGTACAGCCCTGAATTCCTCAGTGCAGCCCATACTGATCCCCTGACCAGCACACAAATCCAGCTGATACGATGATGTATGTCCTACACGACCTGTTGTAAAAACCTGCACTTACATTTTGACAGTGCTAGTAAACCACAATACAGCAAGAGGGATGAAAATCCCTGAGGGTTGTTAATTATCACAATTAGTCAGGAGGGGAAGTGTTATATTTAAGTTGGCTTCATTAAAGTGTGAGGTAGTTAATCGCTGCAACCAGACCAGGAAATGGGAACAGTATTATTGAATTTTGTGTTCTGTTTTAATGAGACGTTAGTCTGGTATTGACATGGGTATATTTTTACTTGCTTTGTGCTCCTGATAATTAAACACATTAACTGTTGCCTTTGTTCTGGCATGCTGGTGTAAAATATTGTATGCAAGCTTAAAACTTAAGGGTAAAAAGGAAGGAAATTAAATTTAAAAACCTCAAATCCCACCTAGAAAAATCCCAAATCAACATTAAATACCTTCTCAGCCTCTCATAAAAGAGAAACACAATCCATAACAAATCCATTCATCCTTTTTCTAACCACTTCTTCCAATTTAGGATCGTAAGTTAGCCGGAGTTTATCCTGGCAAACAATGGGCACAAGGCAGGGTACAGCCTGGATGGGACGCAGGGCCATCACAGGGCACAGACCCAGCCAGACACACACACACTCACATCAAGGCCAATTTTCCCAGAAGTCAGTTGACCTACCAATATGTCTTTGGACTATGGGAGGCAACCCATGTGAATGTAGGGAGAACATACAAACTCCACCCAGACAGCACCCCAGGAACTGAACCCAGGGCCCCTTGCTGTGAGATAGCAATGCTAACCACTACACCACCATGGCGCCTCATAACGATTCCAGTACTTAAAAAAAGTACTGACATGACTTGTGAGAACATTCAGCCATTAACAGCATGAACAACTCCTTCTGCAGTTCTGTAACTGGTGCAGCAGGGCCCAGAGTCTGGATCACTGGCATTGAACAACTGGACAAGTTCTGAAAGTGTGGGATCTCAATGTGGGAAATATCCCGGGAATACATATCCAGCTGCTACATTTCAGACAGCAGCTCAGATCAGCGTTGTCACACCTCAGAGAAACCCTGTGCAAACACTTAGTATCTCAGCTTGAATTACTGACAGTAGACAACTACAGTGGTATTGCAACTACTGTTAGAGTTATCATTAAGCTTCCTTTAAAGGTGTCTTTGCATAGCACACCACACACACAGCTGTTCGTACCTGAGTTCCTGCTGCACCTCCAGGGCTGTGTGCCCAGACACAATGAACACCTCACTCATGTCATCTCTCAGCATGTTACAGGAGTAGCCTATGTTCATCGCTGTCTCTGGATAATAACAATAACAATAACAGGATTCAGATTTTTTGTTTCTTGAAATATAAACAGAATAAAAAGAGCATATGCTTAAGGCCAAGAAAAAATCCTAAACTCCAATCCACCTGCCAATCACTCATGACAAAACCAGATGGTAAATCTTTGTCTAGTAAAAAAACACTGTAAGCTATTGTTTGTGTTGTGTCATTGTACAGTAGAATATTTAAACTGTTCTGTTGATGCATACACTAAGACTGACCACGCATTGATCATTCAAATAGAGGTGCAGTTATCTTTGGACTGCCCTTGTGTATTAGGTGTTACTCATCTGTTATGTCTTAGTTATCTGCCTGCTAAGGAGTGGACCAGCAAGTGCAGAAGGAAGCATTACACATATTGTATACATCTCACTTAAGGCAAAAATGCTCATATACTGTAACAGATAGTGATGCAAATGCTTAGATTATGATGCATAATTCTAAGAGATTCCTCATCGGTGTTAACAGATGAGCTGCATTCATCTATCTGTCTGATGTCAGTTTGCTTTTATTAAAATATGATTAGTCCAATAGCTGGGGTATTTTATGCTATGACCTATGTAATATCCCAAACACCGCCCATCAGTGCAATTCAGATGTAGTACTCAGATGTAGTAATTCCTGTTACTTCAGATTACTACCTTCAACTTCAATCTTTGACACAAAATAATTTAGAACAGCTGCACTGATGCAAAACCAGTTTTCCTCGAGATCACTGTGTTACATTCTGTACATATTTACTGGTCTTTGTAAATTCGTTGTTCGGCTTTAGCAGAACCCAGGTCATCTAATAAAGAGCAAAGCCAATGTAATTTAAATTGAGCCCTCTGAATAATTCAGCATCACACATTTACAACTTTATTGTTTCTTAACAACAGGAGGTCAATAAGGACATGCTTATTAACACAACATTGGTTTGCAGACTGAAGGTCAGGACACATTAGATAGATTACATTCAATTGCTCTACTGTTTACGTGGAAAACAACAAATAAGTTATTTAATAAAAGAACAACAATAAATCATTGTAATATATATATATATTTCATTATTTATTTTCAAACGGCAAGCTGTTATTTTAAATTATTGAACACTGAATATGTTAAAGTTGATAAAAGCAAGATTAAAAATGAAGTTTGGTATCAAGTCAGTCAAATGACACTTACAGTATATCAAATTTATAATTTATTAGATGACCAGACTATTCATTCTACTTTTGAAACAAACAATCTTAAAGGGACACAGGGCATTTTCATTACTGATTAAACTTCAATTGCCATCTACTGTATCTGTCAGCATCCCAAAGTTCAAGCAGGCAAATCCTGAGACACAGAGCCCCAAGCCTTTTAAACATCTCAAGGAATATTCAGCGTACCACTGCCACAGATAAAGGTGTCAGCATAATGAACAGCAGAAATAGTGGACGGCCTCTCTGATTCCTAGAGTAATATAAGCGCTACTAAAAATAATCGCTCCTAAAAACCACACAAGCTAATTATGAGCAGAGAAAAACTGAGGAATATCATCATAGTCCAGCAAACCATGATTAACAACACAGGTTGGTAAGCAGACAAAAAAAACTGATGAGATTTACAAGAAACGTAAGGAAGAATCAGTTGTTGGTCAGCAATTACCTAGCTTGTCTCCTGTAAGGACCCAGATCTTAATGTTGGAAAGAGTTAAACAAGCGATGGTCGCGGCAACTCCTTCCTGTAATTTGTCTTCTATTGCTGTGGCACCTAGCAACTTGAGAAAGACACGTCTGATATTAATGGACTCTCCCTGAAGAAAAGGATGCAGGCACTCAGGCACGGCAAAACACAGAGAGTGGCAGAGGGTACACCTACTCCTCTCCCCAGGAAACATTCATTAAAGTCAAACATGAGAGGAAAAACATCTTAGGCAGGATTCTAATCACGCTGAAGTACACTCTTGAGGTGAGATCTACAAAGGCATTTATCACAAGGAGAGCACATGGAAAAGAGGAAGAATGGAGATGATAATAGAGGATATATGGAAAACATTTTATTTAAATACTCTAAAACTAGCCTTTGTTGTTTGTAACACTCGGGCCTGGATTAAATCAGAACACAATCAAAAATTACACACACAGTACAGCCAGCTGTTATCAAAAAAGAGGTTTCTGATAATCAAGCAGAACAAAGGACTGGAGAGAACTGTCTAAAGAGACCTCAGCTTGCAGCAGCTCTCAGACTCTACCATCATGTCCTGCTCTATTTCTTCATACAGCTCAGCCAGGCAGTCCTCTCTGTTCTCTAGGGAGGTGCTGGCGAAATGTAACTTCTTTAACCACCCCTCAAAGTAGTCTTCGTCGAGATCTTTGTATGCCAGGGCCAATGTTCTCAGCCCTTCTCCGGCAAACTCCTAAAAAACCACAAAGATCTAATCAAGCAGTGAAGCAGTTACTGTATAATAATTATAATAATTGCTTACACTTATATAGCGCTTTTCTGGACACTCCACTCAAAGCGCTTTACAGGTAATGGGGATCCCCTCCACCACCACCAATGTGCAGCATCCACCTGGATGATGCGACGGCAGCCATAGTGCACCAGAACGCTCACCACACATCAGCTATCAGTGGGGAGGAGAGCAGAGTAATGTAGCCAATTCATAGAGGGGGATTATTAGGAGGCCATGATTTGTAAAGGCTGATGGGAAATTTGGCCAGGATGCCGGGGTTACACCCCTACTCTTTTCGAGAAACACCCTGGGATTTTTATGACCTCGGTTTTACGTCTCAAAACTCTAGGAAATATGAATTTGACAAAGCAGGAACATTTGCACACTATGTGAGTGTGAAGAAAAGTTCTAAAAAAGAAACATTTCAAGGTCTTTCTTGGGTACCGTATCTATTCTCTTTAAAATTAGTATTCCTTGTCCAATGTTCCTCCTAATCTCTAAGTTAAAGTGCACACTTCAATCATTTATTTAGGCTACTGTGGTTCCAGCGAATTTTTCATTTCCAGAAATTCAAAAACCATCAACGCCATTTCGTCACCTTAAGAAAAGGCACGTACAGTAGTGACAGAAATGAATGCGTTCTGGCAGATTGGTGTGCGTGAAATCTGATTTTTAATGCCAGTGACCAGACAGAACAGGGAGTGATGGATTACCTGCCGGTACAATAATCAACACTTTATGAATCAGCATTAGCTCGGGTGCATTTTCATTCTGTTCATTACGTATGATGTGTTGGCAGGGAACTCAAAAAAAATCAGTTTAAAGTGTGAAAACACATCTCATTTTATTACATCTCATTAAAAAAGGCTCAGTCAACAAGTTTTTTTTTTTTATCTGGCATGTGCAAGATTAACACAGATCAATAAAAAAAACTCAATGTGAACAACCTAGATTCCCAGGAGAGGAACTTCCATTGGGAAAGCATTCAAATTAATGCCAAAAGTCAACACAGACTCATGACTTACAAGTAATGTAATCACGTTGCATATACAATAAAAATATTTTTTTTGTAATTCTGTTACACAGTAAATTTAATTTATAACATCGACCACACATTGTAAAAAACAGCTCTGTGCATTGTGTTTGCATCCAAAGTGGTAATTATATTTGTTTACGTGCGAGAGAGTGGAACAGGAGCAGAATATCATTAGTGACCTACATTCAGGTGCTCGGAGGTAGTGTACATGAGCTCCTCATTGGAGGGGTCAAGCCTGTCAAACAGAATTGTGTCAGCTCCCTTGGAGTACAGCCTTATCTGGCCCTTCGGATTCTTCACTGAAAACAGGAGACATACAGGAATACAGGAACATACATTAAAGGTTAAGAACAAGAGGCCTCTCAATCAAGCTCATTTGGTTGGTAATCGATGATGATCTCATCTAGCCTGATCTTGAAAGAAGCCAGGGCATTAGCTTTGAAAACATGACTAAGAAGCCTGTTCCAGACTCCCAGAACTCTTTGTGTAAAGAAGTGTCTCAGTTTTAAATTCCACTTTTGCCCTGCGCTTTGTGTTGAACAGTTTAAAGGGGAACTGCAATGCTATTTTTATATTTCCAGGTTAAAAATAACCAGCATTGATGAGTGTATTTCAAACTCCAATAATAGTAAAATGTACACAGCAACTTGTAAAACCTCCGATTTATACCACAAAATAGACAATTTCCAGGTGTGCTCAGCACCATAGTCTGTGATTCAAATGAGGCAAAAAAAACCTCCAGTGAGGTAAAGCTGCCCTATCACATTGTAAACAAGCAGGCTTGAGAATACATCTCTTTTAATCCAAAAGAAAGTTTGCCTTTTTGGTGATAAATAGAATTTTCTTATTCAATCTTGCATGCAGATCACACTGGAAAAGTTCTGGGGTGAAATATCTGCTGCACAAGCTGTACTTAATTCAATGTGCATCGCATTACATTAGTCACCACGGTGACTAGTGAGCAGGACCATATCACCTCAAAATTATTGCAAACTCTCACTCTCTCCGGCAAGACCAGAGCTATGTGACAACATGGAGACCTACAGTACTTTCACAAAAGTTCATGATTTTGTACTTAATTCCGAATTTGTAATTTTTTAATATTCTGTCAATTAATTTATTTTGTTACCAAGATTTAATAACCGGTTTGAGATCTTGGGACTGCAGCTCCCTTTAAGTAACTTTAATCATTCTGTACTTTAATTAAACTACAACATATTTGGTTTTGTTAATAAAAATCTATCTACATTCATAGATGTAGCCTTTGTACTAGATATGAGTGACAATTAAAACATTAAGTGAATCATCAAGACATATAAAATTAAATAAAAAGGACAATCCTTCCAAAATTGGTTTGGAACAATCACTAAGCATCTGTTACCTATCACACTCATTCTTTTCCTGATGTTATTGAAGTCCAGGATGGCAAGGAGCTGGTAAGTCACAGGCTTTCCCATTTCATAAACTGTAATAGTTTCAGGGGTTCTTGCCCGAAAGACAAATCCAAAATTCCTAGCTGCTGTGACCAAAGCTCCTTCGTCTGGCGACTGTGCTTGATACATGAGTTCCCCTGCAAGAACAAATTGAATAGAATTTTTATTAGTCCACAAGCGCTACAGCAGACCGAGTGCTGCACAACAGACTCATGTGCACATTAATTTTACAGGCGACAGAAAATGTGCTTTCAAACCTGTTCTAAATAATTCCACCAAAAAGCATGTGGCATTGACAGATTTTGGCATTATTGGGTTCAACATCGGTAAACATTCAAATCAATATTTTTTTTTCTGCTCTGCTTCATAAATTAAAATGCAAATGCAGATATGGCATTCAAAGTCAGACAATATCCCGCAGAGGCAGGCATTAGTTTGAAATGATTATTGCTTTGTTGATGCAAGGCTGGAACATCAGTATTATACAAATAACATTCTATGCTTCCCAGTACTGTTGATCTATTTGGTAGCAGTCCGCGAAGAAAGTAGATTTGCACTGTTCAAAAGATATTAAAATAATTATAAAAAGAATGAACTCTCAGCATGTAATATGATCATAATTCTGTTGAACTGCCCTAGGAATGCACCGTATTGGCTCCCTGAGAGACGATAACAGTATTTTCAGCACAGTTATTGCTTAATACTTTACCTTCATTTTTCTCCTCAGGCATTACCGTGTGACAAAGGGCAAGCAGTCTGAAGAACTCATGCACTGTGGGATCTTCTAGCTTGATGGCTTCAATCAAGCTAGTATCATGAAACTTGAACTTCCTGTCTCGCAGTGGGTTGAAGGAAAAGTCCACAGACTGAGTTTTCTAAAATAAGAAAAAAAACAAAAAAACAGACATAATATTTATAAATTAAAAATAGACAATATATTTTGTTTCAGTATTGTTTGACAATATTGAAGCTTCCTCTGCCATCTGTGTTGGCACGTGACCAGGAGCTGCAGGGCAGTAAAATGCCAAATATCCCCACTTCACAAAAAAGAAAATCATCCAGACAGTAAGCCCGTTCATTTATTTATTGGTGCGTTGCTATCTGTGATCTGCAATGAAACAAAGACTCAGTCCAGCTAGAGAAAACTGGAGCTGAAGATCTATAGTCAGGTTTTATCTGGCCTGATGTAGTGGGTAATTTTTCTTCATGATATGTTGCTTAAGAAGTATTGTATTCTTGTCACAGAGTTATCAATTCTGACAGCAGCTCGAGCCTCATGCTTCAGGTTTCGTACAACATCTCTTTTAATTCTTTGCTCAGTGGAATTGATTTAGGGACCCACGTCTGGTGACACTGGCAGGACGCAGATCGGGTTCACTCTCATTTATTTTTTGTTTTCTTTTTATTTGTTTCTGGCAAGTGTTTGCGGAACAAAACATCCACAGACCCATTTCTAGTCAATCATAATACATAAACAGAAATATAGCCTATGCCATCTGCCTTCACGAAGGAAATACAAGCAAGAATAAATCTGCCAGAGAAATTTAAGCACATACATTACTATACTTGGACAGGGGTAATGATGGTTACTGAAACTGCTGAAAGTGCTCCCTACATCAGAGATAGCGGTCTTGAACTTGTTTGTCAAAAAGCTTTAACAGAACAATCTTTTTTCATAATGTCTGAAGTCATTACTGATAATTGGCACAATGTATTGGCATCATCTTTCTTTAAAAAGAGTTTCGGGGATGCATTCCTACCTCTGTGATCTCTACTTTGTGGCCAAACTCATCATACACGTCACCTTGAGGTAAGAAAAAAGATAGATAATGAGAAGACTAGACCTGTAAAATCCTTAGATATGTTTTCCTGACTCCCAAACACTCTTCTTGAAGCTGAAAGTATTATTGCATTCAACTGAGAGTAAGTCATTATGTACACAATAACAAGACGAGTACATTTCCATTAAAGAGGAAAAAAAAGTTTTTTTTTAAGTGACTTCATCTTAGATACTTTGATGTTGTTCTGTATTAAGAGCATTTTAACAGTGAAGACCACAGGCAGGATCGCATTCCTTACCGTATGTTTTCCCATTAATGGAGCACTTGTTGAATACCATGATGTTCTGTGTGAGCGTCCCGGTCTTGTCTGAGAAGATGTACTCGATCTGGCCCAGCTCCTCGTTCAGTGTGGTGGTCCGGGCCTCAGCCGGCGTGTCCCTCCTGCTGTAGTACAGCCTCCGGTCCCAGTTAATAAAGTAGCTGTGTCCGAGCCGAATCACTTCCACACTGGAAACACCAAAAACAACAACTTTCTGGTTCTCTCTTTTTTCTCTTTTTTAGGTCTTCTCTCACTTTCTTGTCAGAGCCAGTATCAGGACAATCAGCACCATTATCATTCATTCCTTACAAAGAGTGCTATTCCAGGATATCTATGGTTTTATTAATAATAATGTACTGTACTAAGAATTCACCCGAGCGACATGGTGAGGCAGTGGTAAGCACTGCTGCCTCACAGTGGTGGGATCTTGGGTTCAATTCTGAATTTGAGGTGCAATATTTGTGGAGTTTGTATGTTCTCCTTGTATTTGCGTGGGTTTCCTCCAGGTGCTCTGGTTTCCTCCCACAGTCCCAAGGCATACTCATAGTTTAATTGCCTTCTGGGAAATTTGGCCCTGGTTAGAGTGAGTCTGTTGACCTGCTATGGACTGTCGTCCAGTCCAGGGTCTGTCCCGCCTTGCTCCTGTTGCTTGCTGGGATAGACTCTGGCTTCCCTATGACCTGGAACTAGAGGAAGTGGTTTTATAATGGATGGATGGATGGATTCACCTCCACTTTTTTAGGGCTCTACTGAAGAGCATTTTAGGATATCATGTTTGTCTCCTTTAAGGCACTAGGGAGCTTGCAGTGTGTCAAAACATGAAAGTCACTGTTCTTACAAGCAAGTTGAGAATATGACATAAATGTAAAATAATTAAAAGATAAAACACAGTGTCTACATCTCTGTATCAAACTAATTTTGTTTGGCAACATACAGTAGAACTAGCCCATGTCAGATGCCAGAATCTCCATATGTACAACACAGTGAACTGCTTTACAAAGTTGTACATACGGCAGATACTGCATTTGGGCATACAGTGTTGCTGACAAAGACAGCAATGGACAACAACGAAGATTTGGCTCTAGGAGAGTGGTAGGAGCTCAGTGACCAGCCAGAGTGACAGACAGGATTATCTCTGCTTGTCCTACAATCACTGAAGAGAATTGATTCACACAGAATACAAGCCAAACACAAATTGCAACTAACACTCTATCAATGAAAACTAACTGTGAGAGCCAAACCAAAACGTCTGCTTTCTTAAGTGGCATTACTGTAGTTTATTGATTCCTGGAGTCAAACCAATCCTTTTGTTTTCCGTAAGATATGCCTTCAAGGACAAGTGTTGTGAATTAATAAGCCAGCAGTCATATCACCCTGCAACTCACAACTGGCAACCCACTGAAGCTAAGCAGGTGTGAGCCTGGTCAGTACATGGATGGGAGACCTCCTGGGAAAAACCTAAGGTTGCTGCTGGAAGAGGTGTTAGTGGGGCCAGCAGGGGGCGCTCACCCTGCGGCTCATGTGGGTCATAATGCCCCAGTGTAGTGTTCTGTAAACATGTGCCGTCCTTCGGATGAGACGTAAAACCGAGGTCATAAAAATCCCAGGGTGTTTCTCGAAAAGAGTAGGGGTGTAACCCCGGCATCCTGGCCAAATTTCCCATCGGCCTTTATCAATCATGGCCTCCTAACAATCCCCCTCTATAAATTGGCTTCATTACTCTGCTCTCCTCCCCACTGATAGCTGATGTGTGGTGAGCGTTCTGGCACACTATGGCTGCCGTCGCATCATCCGGGTGGATGCTGCACATTGGTGGTGGTGGAGGGGATCCCCATTACCTGTAAAGCGCTTTGAGTGGAGTGTCCAGATAAGCAATTATTTTTATTATTATTAATAAACCAAAACTGAGCATGAGATACACAAATGGTTATATACATATACAAAAACATGATTTAAATGATTAAATAAATACTGAAAAAAATGTTCTTCCATTTCTATAGGGACTATAAGGCTGACAGGTACAGTCAATGGAGTACTACGATACACTACGTTTTTAAGGCATCCTGACTACTAGACATGGGGGGCCACCAGATAAGCAAATCTGAATTGGAGATGGGCACAAATTCTCTAGTAAGTTTACCAAGGTAAGCTTTCAGTAAGGATACTGACATTAAAATGAATTAACAGAGGTTAACAGATGGACAAAGGTTGAGATCATTAAAAATAGATGAAAACAGCATAGAGATAGAAAACAGCAATAAAACAACTGTCCACAAGATAGTGTACTTTCAAGAATACCTTAGTTCTTTCATGATCAATCACACTGAATGCTTGTAATCTGCTTTAGAAAATGTGACTTGACTTTTTTAAGGAAAGAAATAGACAAGCCATCATTTATGTGTTATACAAATCGTATCGGTATGTTGGCAGAAAATCCAATGAGACTGGAGCGGGCTGGGGGCTTCCAAGTGACTCAACAAGCAAGTACAGTCACTCAGAATGCAGGCTGGTTAACTAACTCAGCAGCTGCCATTTCAAACCTACTGTAGGTAACATTAACCAAGTGAGGGCATGCAATTGGTGGAGCAGTGACATCACAGTGACATCACACAGAGCCCCAGTGCTCCTCCAATCAGCACTTACTCTTCTTTAAGGCACTATGGAGCTTGCAGGGCATCAGGAGATCAAAGGCTCCTCATTCTCCCAGCACAGAACAGTAGAATATATAGCGCAAATGCAAAAATACAGTGCAGTATATGAAGAATGGTAAAACAAAACTTAAATGAAATGTCCCCTTGGGGAAAAAAAAGTCAAATGTGATTCATCTGTGTTTAAATAAATTTAAAATTTGAAAATGCTCCTTTTTATATATACCATTAACATCCTCTCTTACCTTACATAGAGAGATATGGGGACCACAGTGTTGAGAATAATTACGTATGACCAGAATGTTAGGAAGCCAGAGAACACAGCATCATTCAGTACTTCATTCCAAGGCAGATACATTCTGAAGTTACTGCCGACTTTGTATTCCCAGATCGAATTCCCAATGGCAAGGATTACTCCCATGCATGTAAGAAAACCAAAAATCTGAAAAATACAGAGGAACTGTCAGTTATTATAATTCAGCCATTTTGTGAGTGTGAAACAATGCTTGAAAGCATAACTGAGACCTTCAATCGTTTTCTTCATCCTCTTGAGTAGAAACACAGAGCAGCTCAGCCAGTAAAGGTGCAGCTGACCTCTGTGATCACAGGTCCAAGGCTGGGTTGTGGCACTAGCCAACCGTGACCAGGATGCTACAGGAGGTGGCACACTACTGCCTGACCGCTACTGAGGGCAGAGTGGGATTAGATCACTGACCAGGAGCTGCCTGTGCCCTCCAGGGCACTTGCAGGTTTGTGGTGCCATTTGATGAGGAACTGCAGGCAGCATTGAACCTCCATTAATGGGCTGAAGCCTCTGGTGTCTTAAAAGACATGTGGTTCAGGTAGGTAAGAGGAGTCTACATGTCCACATTCTTCCCTGTGTGTAATTGTAGGAACACAGCTGTCGTTTCCAACATTGGGTTTAACGACAATAACTGTCTATTCTTAGATTAAAAAAGAATACTTTGGCCACACGGATGTCCATGAGCTGGCCAATTAGTTAAATAAGGCATGAGAACTGAGAACCTGGATATTAATTGCAAGGAGGGGTGCAACTGAGAGCCAACAAACTTACCCATAAAACTAGAGTGTTCATCAGCCTGTCGATGCTGGTCCTTTTAAATTTTGTCTTCCCACTGTTCTGCATCAGCTTAGTTTGAGGCCCTGAAGAGAAAAGCATTTAGAAGGCAGCTGAACACAATTTATTTCCATTATTTGTTATTTATGTGCTTCTGGTCCTGACAGAGGTATTCTAAAATGCACTCCACACTGTAAAAGCACAAGTAATGCAATACCAGAGAAATGAATCAATACCTGCAAAAATGACCATTCCGAAACACCACTCAGTGTTTCTGAGCACACAGCCCCTGAGCAGCATCTTCTCGTTGTCGAGAGAATACTTATTATCTTTCCAGAAGAGTGTCCCTATGAATCTGTCCAGCTTGTTATTTGGAGGCTCACAGACAACTTCACCTGAAGAACACAATTAGACTACTGAAGCCAAAAGCAATTTTAACTGTAGCACAATGCATTCATCTTATTCTGACGCACAGTTCATTCATTACAAGCCAAAACAAAGCATTACACTAAATGTTTTGTTTTTTTAAACATTTTTAAAGCATTTACTATTCTAATAAATACAAAATAATTAATTTCCTTGATAACTATGCCATCTTTTTTTGTACTTGTAGTAATGAAATTTTGAAGATGAGAATTGTATAGTATTTTTGCAAACAGTTGAGAAAAAAATAAAAGGTTGTTTTTTTAACATTTTTCTCATAAAAACTTAAATTAATTCTGTGCTTCGCAAGCAACACTAAGTTTACCCTTTATAATGTAGCATCAAACACGTAAAATCCACTGATTATGAAGCCATCTGCTCTAAATTTTACATTAAACTGAGAAGGTTTTACGGTAGAATACGTACTGCTGATGAAGAGATCTGATCTAATGTGCTGTAGTTTCTTTTGGTTTTCCATAATGCTGTATAATTACCAATTAAGGTATGATGAAAGAATACCTTATTAATTATGTGTTGCAAAAAAACATCAACAGAGGTTTCTATGAAGATACAATGGGAGAACGTACCATCGAAGGCAGCCAACTTGCTTATATCGGCACCAAGGTCTGAAGTCACCGTTAATGCCTGACGCACCTTTAAGTTAGTTTCCCTAATTAAAGAAAACAAACCAGGAATATGTAATTATGACCTAGGCTTGATTCAACACTTGAACAGGTACAAAAGATGTGAACAAAAACAATTTAATTTAACATGGCCAGCAAGCTGAAGCAGTCACTGACTTCAACCTCAACCATTGAAACACTGAACATTTTTTAAGTGTTTTTTTAAAGAGAGTGAAAAATGAGTCATGCTCAGCTTCCCAAATTAGTGTTAAGAAATATACTAAAGATCTCCCCTCCTGCTTGTTGCACAGGAGAAAGCTGCAACTTCAACATTCTCTTAACCTAACAATGTGAATAATAAAAATAAAAAAATGACAATACAGTTAAAACTGTGACTATGATCCAGCATGCATTAGCCATTACACAAATCAAAATGCAAACCCTAGAATATCTGTAGACTGCAAAGACATGTTCCAATGGCCTTACCCATCCAGCTCTGCTGTTTCAATGTAACAGAGCCCATATGGTTCACTACTGGACAAGAGGAGCAGGTCAGCCTAAAGCAAGTAACAGAAAATAAGAACATTATAAGTGCAACTTCACTTTTAAGACATATTGTGTCTGTTCTAGACTGCTAATTAATGACAATGTTCAATGAAAATAGCTTATGTTTTCCTAAATTAAACTAGAATTACCATACTGAAACTTTTGTTTTGCCCGTGATGATTCATGCACCTTCTGAACTGAAGAAGAACACAATTTTTAGCTAATTTAGTTTAACACAGTTATACTGAAGCACAGATATGGCAAACACTTGATTGCATGGTGCCTATTGGATCGCCTTGGTATGTTTCTAGAAGCCCTTTACAGAAAGGCTTCTCTAAAAATGATGTGCACTCGTAAAAAAAGTGATAAAGAAGAGGAGGCCATTCAGCCCAGCATGATAAAGTGAAGTCACTAGTGACTTAGTGATTCAAGGATTTCATCTAGCTGTTTCTTGAGAGATGTCAGGAAATTCACTTCAACAATGCAGCTGGACACTGTTTCCCACCAACCCCACCCCCATGACTCAGTGTAAAGGAGTTGTTCCGATTTTCAGTCCTAAGCTCACTCTGAAAAGAGAAGCAGAACGGTTTCTCCCTCACACACATGACTTTATGGACATTCCTTTTTGTCTTATCATCTTTATTCAGAACTAAGGAACAGAACAAGGGCAGATTACTTCACCAAATGAAAAGGGAAAATCCCCTTTCTGAATCCAGCGACTGTGACAGGATGAATTCCGGCCCTTTGCAACATCATGGACACAACACACTGAAGTTTGCTGCTTCTCTGGCTCGTGAGAGTGAGCAGTACTCACAGCTACAAACTGGTTGTTCTCCAGTTTGATGATGTCTCCCACACGCACATTCATCCATTTTTCATTCTGCAGCCTAAAAGAAAAGGAAAATAAAATAAAAACATGCCCTGGCAGTGTCAGCCAATGCCCTTGTCTCAGTCTTTCAAACAACACTCCAAACACATTATTGTTTCTTTATCCTGAGGCCAGTAAGTTTACTCTCCTGCCCTGTTTTTTCTGTAGGGACTGAATATTGGCAAATACTGACTTTGCCACTCCATTATCCTGTGGTATTTCATATGTATGGAGCATGGTATTTCACATTTCTGAACTTTGTTCAGATGTGTGAAATTTCATTTGACTGTTGGTGTTTTTTCTTGTGCATCCTGTAAATGGTTTTGCATGACATTATTCAATGCTATGTAACATAGACAATACTCAAAATATTTTATTACAAAACGTAAAAAAAAAAAAACATCTAAAAACGTGGTCAGATTGCTCACTCAATTTATCAAGGTTTGAGGAGCATGTGTTTATTATCATCATCATTATCATCATGTGGCTCCCGATGTTCTCCAAGGCAATGACACAATTAAGTTAATATTGTTGTACATTAAAAACCCATTAGAAAGTGGTGAGTAACTCAGTGAAGCAGTATGACAGCGCTGGAAGCTTTATGAGCCTCCACAGGACAGCAGCCAAAAACACAGTTCGTACTCACTTGCCCCTGATGAGCACCTGAGACTGCCGATTGTTGACCTGTTTATCACTTTTATGGCGGAACTACAAGAGTTACAAAAGGAAACAGAATTACAACAACCAGATGTTTGTTAGACGTATAATAAGTGAAATCTACACAGGTTCATGGACAAAATAAAAATTCCTGAAACAGGTTTGGTTTTACATACAGTATCACTGTTGCCAAGGCCTGAACAGACCTGATATCTGGTTGGGTTTCCTCCCATTTCCTCCCTTAGCCAGTACCTTTGAAATCTATATTTTTCATATTACATCTGAACAAAATATTTTCCTGAATTCACAGACTTGTATCTCATCACATCTAGAGTAGCTCCTGCCATACTAACATCATTATTTTTATTTAAACAGAAATAAATATTTTCAGCCTTTATGCAAAATACATTAACGTACTGCAACATGAGATTAGAATGGGAAAGTTTAAATTTTAAAATTCATGGCTTGAAACTGATTATGCTCTATCCGTTTTCTAACACTAGACAAGATTTGCATTTATATTACTCAAGGACAAAAAAAAGAACAATGCAGATTGCAAACTATATCTGATCAAATTTACAACTGTTTTTAAAAAGGAGATGTCTTTTGATGGGATTCTGAATTCAACCTGTAGATTCTGACCACATGGCAGCTTAAGATTTAAAAAAAATATATGTCATGTTCTGCAGTTTACCAAAACTGAAGACTCATTGATGAGAAGGCTGGGTTCCAGAATATTGACTGCCGAATCTCGTGAATAGAAAAAAACTTCCAATCATCTCACTGGGCTGGTAACAAGAACGTGTGTATTGTTTCAACACTGATAAATTATTTATAAGCTATCTGATGAAGTAGCAGCATGAGGAAAAAAATACAGTCGCTGACGTTACCCACAGAAATCTGTCTCTTCATACAGGTAAGTCACCTCTTACTCACATAGTCATCAGTGGCATCTTTCACAGCTGTGATCGTCAAAACCAGAACCAGAGGCACGATGGTGGTGAACCAGGACAGAGAGGAGATTTGAGGAATTAGCTACAAAAAATAAGGAGTGGAGACAACCCAGGGGTTAAATCAAAACCACATAAACACAATGAAACAGCTCCACATCCCAGTTAATATAATTAGTGCACAAAATTACTTAAATGAGAGAAAGAGAGGACAGTTTATACCAACCACTTCTAGACTTGGTACTTTGTATTTATTAAGCTGACATGGACAACACTCACACAGAATGAGCGCTTGGGAAAGGAATGATTGTTTGACCTACACATATTTTCAGAAAGTCTGTAATCAGCGTTCTAGTCACTAGTGCAGAGCTCTGCAGATGAAAAGCTCTGCAGCAGAGGAAAACCCTTATTCTGAAATAAAAAAGAGATACCTCTTGAGGACAATTAGTGCTAACACCGGCTCAGGATCTGACACCACGAATAATAAGAAAGGCAAGGAAAACACTGCTGATTTTGCAACACATTAAGGGGGGGAAAAATTACGTCTCTGGTTGAAAGCACACGACTGTGTCCCTCTCATCTCATTAAGAAAATGAGAAGTCTGGATAGAAAAGCAGAGGTTGCCTTTAGAAGGAAAGAAGGAGGAGAATTGATTTCTTCAGATGCGCAGGCAGTGGTTCCAGCATGTACATCGAACAGCAAGTCTACAATCAAATGGCTTCGACTGGGAGACTCTAATAGATATGTAATGTAAGGAAATCTAAGCAGTTTTAGGTACATCTCACCAAAAAGAGTTGAAATACAGTTAATATTGCAAATTAAACCTGACTGTACTCACATGCCATTTTCTAAGGCAATAAAATAATTGGATCTGCTTGATGGTGTTGTTTGAATAAAAGGGCAAAAGGAAAATATTTAAGGATTACATTAGGAACTTGTAAACTACTTTCAAATTATGATTTCACAAAACATCTTACCTGTAATAAAAGCAGGAATAAGAAATATGCATTGGCCACTCTCTGGAACTGCTCGAATAGATTTATGGGCAGAAAGGTTAGGATGTTGTATTTTGATGTTTTGATGCGATTTTCCTGGATGGAAAAAACATTGACAAAAAAAGAATTATTTAGTGCAGACTTGAAGATGAGATACAAATACAAACTCTTAGTGCCAAAATCTTTTTACATGTACTGCTACACTAACAGCTTCAGAAATAAAGCTCTCCAGAAAACCAAGTATACTTTTTCAGCTTCTGCAAAATCCATGTAAGAGTGCCAATTCTTATGTGAATCATTTAAATGTTAAAGATCCTTGGTTTCATATTATTTATTCATAAGAAGCCCTTTTCTAAAAATTTCTACAACATGCACACAAGGGCATTTGTGGTTTGCAGGTAATAAGAACAAAAGGGAACTGGGGGGGCCAAGTGAAACATGATGACCTAGAAATGGAAGCCAAAATCAAGAAATACTTTTCCAGGAAGGACAGTAGATCAACCCAGTGGCCTAGTTTTCAGTGACTGTTGAACCACAAAAGGTTGAAGATCATGACTTCCTCAAAACCAACATTAAAAGTGAAAAAGACTGCACACCCTTACTACTGCCGCTGAGCTTACAAACAGCCAGCAGCTGGATTTGGTTATGTGGGGAATCACATGCAAAGAGAAAATGCAAACAGAATGGATAGAATATATACAGTAGTTATAATATCAATTAATGTATTATGTTGCTTTAATGCTTGTACAGTAGACATGACACTTTGAAGCAGCAATTAATAATTATATACCCTAATTAACATGAAAGAAAAATGGAAATGTCATGATTGCATAAGTATTTAAAACCTTTATTATGGAAAACATAAGGTAATTTTGTGCACCTTCTGTGAATTCATTTTACAGGTCACACAAATCATCACTGACTTTTTTTCAAGTGGCCTCTGTCTGCAGGCATTAATAGTGGTTCTCATGAAATCTGAATAAATTCACCTGTCCCTGTGACACTCCTTGGTCATGTACTAAATTCTAAACAAAGATTCAACCACGCAACTAAGGAGCTTTCTAAACTAGTCAGCGATAAAGTCATTGAAAAGCCCCAATTAGGCAAAAGGCACAAAAAAGTATTGAAGTCTCTGAATACCCCTATGAACACAGCCTACTCAATCATCAAGAAATCTGTATACAGTCCGTCCCTCTAAACTGAGCAGCTGGGCAAGGATTAAAAAGGTGAGGGTGTCACTGTAAGGCCAACTACATCTTTGAAATAGTGGAAAACGCATCCCAGATCTCACATGTTTGTAGTTTTCAACAAATCACTTACGTGATATTACAAACATACGGTAAAAGGTCTGTGGTAAGACAAGACAAAATTAGTCTTTTTGGTATAACTGCAAAAGCATTATGTCTGACCTAATATAAAAACAGTGCTTCAACCTCAATACTGTGTGCCATGGTGGTGGCAATATCATGCTATTGGGGATGCTTCTCCCCAGCAGGGACTGGAATGCTTGGAAGGATTAAAGGAAAAATGGATGGAGCAAAGTATAGGCATACTGTATACTAGGGGACTTCTAATTTGGTCCTTTGCCCCTAAAACCGAAACAAAAAATCACCTTTCAGCAGGATAATAATACAAAGCACAAGGCAAAGGTACAATGGAGTGGGTTAAGAATAAGAAAGTTGATGCCCTTGAGATTTTGCAGGATCTATGGAAAGCCTTAAATTGCTGTCATTAAGCAATCAGCAAGAAAACAGAGAGCTCTGGAGCAAATCTGCAATAAAAAATGAGCAAGAATTGCTCCAAACCAGTGGGCAGAGTTTGTAGAGACTTACAGCTATAACTGCTGACAAAGGTGCTCCAAATATTGAGCTCATGGCAATCAACATGTGCAGCTTTCTTTAGTTTTTGCTGACATTTACTGTAACTTATCTTACCTCTAGAAGTCAGTTTGAGTATTACATTTTTGAATAAAATATTAAGTTTTAAAAAATGATTATGCATCATTTTGAAATTTTAGACCTCGTTTAGAGTATTATGTACAGTTCTCAGCACCATATTACAAAGACAATATTACAGCTGCTGGAATCTGCCCAGATAAGAGCAACCAGATACTGTACACTCCCAGGCTTAAAAGAATGTTCTACACTTGCTGGGTAAAAGAACTGAATCTTTTCAGCCTGAAACCGAGGTTGCAGTAGAGATTTATACTGCTACTCAGTGACCGGAATCCTCAAAACCAAAGTCAAACTCTACACAGTGGATTTCGTCCGAATTAACAGTGAAACACAAACCAGAGGATACAAGTGGAAACGACATGCAAGTGCATTTAAAACTGAACCTGGTGCAGGCCACCCTGTGCTGTCAATGCAGATGCCCTGTTTTCTTTCATGAAACGGCTGGATGAAATCCTAGGATCAATCTACCGCTAGAAACCCAAGGGGTAAGATGGTACAAACGGCCTTCCCTTAATTTGTAACTTTACTTATGAACTTGGAATTGGAATTGTGTCAACCAAGTCCCCTGATTTTTTTCTCAGCTCTCAGCTAGATTTAAGGACTCCTGAAGTGTAACATCTCCCAAAAATTATTCAGCCTGAATCAAGCTGGGAACTTGCAGTTTTTACATACACCAGCCTGCGTAGCTGCAAACACTATTTGCTATAAAATGAAATTCTGTTGCCCCTGATGTTTGTGCCAGAATTTCAAATCAAAGAAAAAAACACATTGCAATGAGAGCTGCCCCATTAGCTGGGGATTAGCAGGCATGACATGCTGGAAAGCCAACACCTTGCTGTTCCTGGAATGATGGCTGTGGAAGCAGGAAGGGTTCACGGTGCCTAGAGAACTAGAAAGATGATACCATTGTCTATTGCTTCTTAAGAGACTTCAGATCACCCTGTTCATGAGGTTTTCTGGTGCAGTGGCTCTGATTCATAGTTGAGCTATATGGACTGGGTGCCAGAAAAGGTGGAAGGTTTGAGTAGAGGGTTCATTTGCTTGTACCACACTAATTAATGCCTTTTTGGGCTACCAGGCCACCAGGCCACAATCAGGTGCATAATCACCCACCTCCTGCTGCTGAGGTGGTAGCTGTTGAGACAGAGGAAATTTAGTTCACTAGTGTTGCTATTCTTTGCTCAATAGGTGTACCTGAATCCTGAGACAGCTTAAGAGGGGAGGCTTAAGGGAGGATGATTGAATGCACTTTGATGAAAATGATCAGAAATCCCGAAAAATAAGCTTTAGCCTCCCCTTATAAGCAACTGCAGTGATATTTCACGTCATTTCCTAGATTTTACTTTTATCAAAATGCTGTGTATTTAAAAGCATACAGCAGCAGCACAAGCCAATCAGGTGAATGTAGAACAGACGGGAAGGAGCAACATCACCATGACAACAATCCAACTGGGAGCAGAGACTTCAGATCACATGCGTCTCCCTTTCAAGGCAAATATAACTTAATAAGGATGTAATGTCAGACCATCTTTTGAATTTAATGCAAGTTCGTAACAGACCCCTGTTGCTATTTAAAGTTCTGTAAATACGGCATCTTATCAGAATGACCTCACCAGCCCTTATTTTAAATAGGTTTTTAGAAAGAGTACAGCAATCTGTATAACTCTGCTATAAAAAATTACTTTATTTGTAAGCCCAGTAGTGGCTCTAGTGCAATGACAGTTTAACTATACCGCACAGGGACAGCATATTTACATTTAATTTCACAATCCATATTTTAGAAACTGTCACAGGAACTGTCTGTGGGAAAGCAGTTCGAAGATGATGAATACAGCAGCCCAGCACACTGACAAAGCACTGTGTATTACACATGACAGGGCAGTATCTGTAATTAACAAATAACAAAACATATTAGCTCTTTAAAAGAGAGATACTGTATAAGAGCTGTAGGCTACAAGAGCCAAAAACAGCACAAGAGCAATATTGATTTACTTTGCTTAAAAACTTATCTTTCTAAGCAGTAATGTCCTTCAATGTTTGGGAGCCTTGGAATGAATATATTTGAAAATCACATATCTTTTGTAATACTTGCTTTGATAATAAAAGATTCACTGTAATCAGGTTGAGTTTAAAGACATTTCTTCACCTACATTCCTTTATATATAAATGAGATATTTGTGTACCACAATAATTCTTCTGGTTGAAAAATAACAACACAGCTTGGAGTTTGTACGTTGGATGCTGCACATTGGTGGTGGAGGGGAGTCCCCATTACCTGTAAAGCGCTTTGAGTGGAGTGTCCAGAAAAGCGCTTCATAAGTGTAAGCAATTATTATTAATTATTATTATTACGTTCTCCCCATGTTCGTGTGGGTTTCCTTTGGGTGGTCTAGTTTCCTGCCACAGTCTAGACATGCTAGTAGGTGAACTGGCTTCTTTAAACATTTGCCATGTTGTGACGGTGTGTGTGTCTGTGTCTGTACAGTATGTGTGTCCTGTGATGGACTGGCAGCCCGTCCAGGGTGTAGCCTGCCTTCTGCCCATTGCTTGCTGGGACAGGCTCCAGCTCCCCTGTGACCCTGTACTGGACAAAGCTGCTATAAAATGGATGGATGAGTTATGTGCTATTCAGACTTCTAATCTCTTAAAATCAGTTTTCAGGTATGGCCATAAAAAACAGGAAGAAGCCAGCTACAACCCACATAGCCACAACATTTATACCACAGCAATAAAATAACAGGTGCTCATCCAAAACAGCTAGGAGCCGATATTGTGTGGTTTTGGTCTGACACAGTATATAGCTAAAACCTTCCAAAAACCAGCACGGAAAGTTTCCTATTCTACCTCTCCCCAAAAGAATGCTTTTACTTTGCCTGCACAAAAAGTATTAAAAAATATATTTGTCTTGTTATGATTGCTCTCGTGTGTTTCTCCTGTTTCTTTGATTAAGAAGGTAACAACAGCTGCAGGGATTGCTATCAGATGGTGCTGAACGTAACACCAAATGCTGACTAGAATACTGCACTGTAAAATACTGAAAATGCCTGGACCCTTCGAAGAGCAAAAATGTTGTACAAATGAAAAATTTAACTGAATTCTTTTTTTTGTCCTGTGCTCAAATAACATCCAATTTTTTTTTTTATTATTATTATTTTCATATTTGATTGCTTCAGGTGCATTTTTATTATTTAATCACTGCAACATGAACACTATTCCGGTAAGAAATATCATTTTCTTCCCCGAGAGAGATCTGATAGGACTCTTGCAAAAATGTAATAATTCCAAACCAAGTTTGCTAAAAAAACATTTTGGTTTTTGGTAGCTACAGCTAGCCTGGGACAATTTTTTGTCCCTCAATGCCACATTATGTTGAAATTTATTTGTGTATATGGAGTAACTCAAGAAGCAAAAACAGTATCAAATCTTAAAATTAATAGGTGTCACATTACCTATAGCTTTTAATATTCACAGAGCAGTTAAATGGCAGTTAAATGCATCTGCATTTTCAGTAAATCCACGCCTTTTCCATGTACTGCAGCCGAATACTCGGAAATGAGTAATGTGCCCATCAGAAAGAAAGTGAAAATGAGCACTTTTTTCCATAGTTAATGGAAAACCTATGTGGGTTCTCCAAAGTTATCATGATTTAAAATAAATATAATATTGAAATGTTGTTAAAATGCTTAGTAGCTTTAGTCACGCGTTCCTCTATCATTCCACAAATCTGGAATGTTGGAAGTGCCAAAATCAGAAACACCTGCATTATGGTATTTACTGTACATCAGCTGCAGTATTTACCCTTGAATCATCTTTACCCACCACATGCACTCCTGATGCTGGGACACAAAATCTCTTAGGTACATGTGCACTTTGGAAACTGGTTTCCAGACTACATTATAGTGAGATTTATAAAGAAACCCATGTCCAACCTGTACAAATGTGAAGGTAATAAAGAAACCCATGTCCAACCTGTATTACTGGTAAATTTATAAAGAGACCCATCTCAAACCTAATTTAATGTGATGTTTAAAAATAAATCTCTAACTTTATTAAAGTGAACTTTTTAAAGAAGATGATCTCTTACCGGTATTAAAGTGTGGTTTATACAGAAAAGGTCTGCAACCTATAATAATGTATTATTAATGTGAGGTTTATAAGACCTAGCTGCTCTAGTGATTTAAACACTTTAAAAAATCTGATTGTGTGGAAGATCTACTGTATGTAGGATGTGCTTTGGGAGGCATGACTAACAATGTTCTGTTCTGCTGTTTCCAAGGGCAGAGAGTGTTTTCACAGGGGTGGAACTCTGTCTGTGGCTCACTGATACCACACGTAAACACAAAAAGTGTATTTGTTCCAAACAAAACACCAACTTTAAATTTCATCTGCCAATGGTGTTCCCTCCCTGTTTTCAAGGAAAACAGAAATTAATCTGGTCAAAACCCATATACAACACAGATTTCCTAACATCCCCCTTAACAATGTAATCCAGAAAAGTTGTTTCTCATGAGCAATGAAGCAAGTGCTATGATTGCATCATAAGATTACAGTAATGAACAATTCCTGAATCATGACACCGGGCACAGGAAGTGTGGCACACAGATAAAAGCGATATACTTTATATTCACTCTTGAACACAAGCCAGATACTACTGTTTATGTGCCATTCAGATGAAAAGTCATACTTATTTTCTTAAGTTACTTTTAAAAAAATACGATTTTTCAGTATTGCTTCAATTGAATGTTGCTGCATAACGGTTTCATAATCCATTCAATGCTTGCACTGTACCAATCACTAGAAATGATACTAAAACAAATGTTATGACCTCTTACACACAGGTCATGTCATATTAAAAAAGTATAATTAATTACAATATCTGGAGTGGCAATCATGTAGTGATACTGAAGCCATTATGCAGTCACATTCAAATAAAGTGTTACAGATTATTCTAATTTTGTTTTTCTTCTATTAACAAAGAAAGGATCAGAAAATGACACTGCAGGAAGAAGAGCTCCGACTTACTGCATATAGAAACTTGTCATTGTAGTCGCGGTCATTAGCTCTCACATGCCGCTCCTCCTCTGAAAGCACAAGAGAGTCATGTCAGAAAATACATCAGTGAGCAAGACAAATGGACTCAAGGGCTCAAGACAGTAAATAAATACAAAGACAAGCGGGTTCATCTGGTTACTTGAAATGCTCCCCCACAACACCTTTCGATTGCCCAGACAGCGATGCAAAACATCACGCAGCTTTGATCAACAGCAGGATCAGAATGAACTCAATCCGCTTCAGGGTATTTCAGACAGATCGCTGATTATTGAACTTTTTAATTTCCTAACTTGATAGCCGTAATGAAACTGACATCAAAACATGACTTGTTTGAAACATATATTTGAAAAATATGCTGCGAATGACTTTGATGTCAATCTCTCTTTTAAAAAAAACAGTTACTAATGACTGGTTACACACCATTAAATGTAGGATAGTACACTCCAGTTCTGTAATAAAAAATACTTCCTGATTATACCAGGAGAACATTAATTCAAATACTGTAATAATGAATATTATTTTTTCTTTTGTTTTTTTTGCACTAAAGACAGTAATATTTGGTTTTGCTTTTTTTAATTGTATAGGCTTGGGTCTCTTCTTATTCATTCCTACATTTGTCTTCTTGTTCATTGAGACAGCAGTGGTAAAGTGAAAATCAGCCTGATGTGTGGTTCTAAGGACACCGTTTTCTGCCACCTGAACAGAGCAGGAACCGTAATGGACGAAACTGAATCAGGCAGCAAGGCGTTGCAGGTGGCATGAAGTTTTACTGTGCCCTCAGGGATCTTTTTCACATAACAGCTTGCTCCATCCTGTAGAGCTCAGCTGCCTTGTGCCTGTGTTTCAGGATACTGCAGTAAGAGTCCCGCTTTGTCAAGGGAGACCGGTCAGGGATGGCGGAACTTGTGAGTGGCCCTGTGCTCACATTATAAACGCTCAATGATGCGTTTGAGGAGCTTTTTTAGCCAAATGTATGAAGTAATACTTTTAAAAACTAAAACATGTTTAAAAATGTTCAGCAATGAAAGCACGCTACGATGCTGTTTACTGAATTTGTATCATTACAATATATGACAATAATGCCTGAGCTCCTTTTTGATCAAAATAATAATAATACAACCCCCCTCCCCCCTTCAAATTGTTGGAGAAATGTGATCTGTTTTCTGTACAATTAAACAAATAAATCATGAACAGGAGTGAAATACTATGCAATCATGCAAGTACCACTATCCTTAGATAAAAAAAATATAAGTTAACCACAGAATACCACTGCCTTAGTTTAGTGTATTTTCTTTATGTGACATTTATACTGACGAAAACAGCCAACTAAAACCAAACCAAAAGTTTTTAGGAACCCTTTACAGAATTTCAGAAATAAAACTATGTCAAATTTGTATGTGAAAATATATTTCTTGTCTTCCTTTGCGCTTTCTTTGGGAAGTGATGCCCTGTCTCACATGCACTACTCTGTGTGGGTCGATGGAACTTCTCAGGCCCTCCCACCTGCCCCGCCACCCCCCACTGCTTCTCCTCGCAGGTCTACCTTGTCTCTCTTCCTGACTGCGCAGGGTCCAGCTTCCACGCCACGGCAGAAACATCCACAGGCATTTCTCAGCCATTTCCTTGGGCACACTCATCCTTGCACAGACAAGGTGTACAATCGGTTAGAAGAGCAAGCAGCCAAGATCCAGTCATGAATACAGCTTCCCAGGAGACATGGGCTCAGGGAGAAAACATGTTGCGCAGTGCCTCTAACCTAACCAGAGAAGCAAGAGCCTGGTAGTATGATCTTTTCCTGCTTGATGCTTCCAAGTTGTATCCGTCCTTTCTTGTGCCTACAGGCTGTAAATCCTCAGGGAGGCGTGAGCAGTAAGGAGATCGGCAGCTGCTCAGGCATGCACAGGGTGTCTTTACTTGCTCGTGCTGAGCCGAGGACTCTTGTTTCAACAATTACTGGATTTCTGGAATTTATCTTGGGGGCCATGTAATGAGCAGGAGCCAGCCTACCTCAGTGCACACACCCACTGAAACAAGCAAAGCCTGGCTTTGATTTCACAAGCAGGCTGCCCTTGAATCACAGCAGAGGGCCGCCGGCATCGCTTTGACTGGAGCTCTTCCACAGAAGGAGGTGGAGCTGTGGTGCCTTAAAAGTTATTCTTTAAAAGGGGAGCATTCCCAAACTGGCTTCTGCTCGGCAAGAAAGCCCACCTAATCATGCCCTTCCTAGCAGACTTGTGTTTGGTTTTGTCGCAGTTTAGGTTCAAGCCTTGCTGTTCCGCCTATAAAAAGGTGCATTTTACTGAAATGCATGAGATAATTTCTTTTACTCTTTCCTCACAGAATTCCCAGGCTCAGATGACAAGTGCTGGAGGTGTGAAAACGCAGAAGCTCTTTCAGTTGTGATATTTTACACTCACTGATTTATTAACTTGCTCAACCACAGCTGTCCCAGCTTTCTATGGTAGTTTGAGCAATTACCAGTGCAGCATTTTATTACAACACTACATCGGGAATTATAATGATTTTTCCTCCTTCCCCTGTCTCACAGCAGCAGACGTATGACACAGGACTTTCATTGTGAACTCTGCAGTTCTGCATTTTAGAAGCAAGAAGTCCTCTGTGTGACCCTAGCCAGCCTGCAGTACAAAGCCAAGATCACTTTCAATTCAGGCCTCTAAATTTAATAAACATTAATACTTCAAGCATCAAGATTATCTGGACAAATAAACTCTGATTTTCAAAAGGTTAGGTAAGATCATGTTTTCAAAAACATCATCATAAAAAATGTAGCTACATGGTCCTTTTATTTGCCCTTTCCTGTTTGCTTTCAAAAGAACACTAATATTAGCTCATCACTCCTTTGGCTGCGTTCAAAAGATCGACAGGCAGCATTGATGATAATACTTCTTCAGCGCCTCGAGGTGCCCTCTGTATGTTGCCCACAACTCAACAGGGGTCATGACTCCATGATAGACCAGTAGTTTGTAGTCAGACGTGATCTTCAAACACCTACTTAAGCACTTCTTAGGCAATAATGAATCTTTTCATCAGCGTCAGCCATTTGTAAGAGGACCCATCACAGGAACAAGAATTGCCAAAGTCTCCTGATGAATCTGAATCTCTGGAGCTGGGGCCTGCTCACTGAGATATTATTGATGAAGGACTTTGTCTTGTACTCATTAGTAAAGATGTACACTACTACATAAAGACCTGATCTCCATGTAAGCAGTCTCTACTTCATCATCAGCATGCTGGAGCTCAGTGTCAGCGTGGCCTTTTTTCTGGATGGAAGTTAAATACTTCAACTGGGAGCTCAATGGTCTTCAGATATGCTATGGCAATTAATATCGGAACACATTTTTGGACAAATAGCACAGCTCTGCTTCCTTGCTCTCTTAATTTCGAAAGAGCTAGTGATAAAGCTGAGAATCTAGTAACTGTAGATCTCTACTTACTGTACATATCACAGAGCAAACAAAGAGTAGTGAGAAACCCTGGGAAGAATCAATACTTCAGAAGTATCCTCCACAACAAAATGCATCTTCCTTAATGGAGTTGACAGCTTTCATGAGGTCAAAGGGAGCCACAAAGTGTGTATATATAACATATAAGGTTGATTTTGTTCCTGATATTTTTCATGCAGCTGGTGAGCAGTGAAGATCATGTCACTGAGAGTCTCCTGAAGGCCTAAACCCACTGAGGTTTTTGCTTGCAGCAGTGCTACACACAATTACAGGCAGCCAAGCCTGTTCAGCATTTTATACAGGACCCTAAGCATGATGGGATGTTAAGCTCTTGTTTTCAATATTCTTGGTGTCTCTTGTTTACCCAGGTATTTCCATTTCGTATCCACTATGTGTATATACAGCTCCCTTTCTAATTATTGCTTAGTTAAATACAAATATAGCTCAGTAAAATTGGACATGTGCTTTCTGTTACTTCACTTCCAGTCTTCTATGAAGACTATCTGAAAGATGTTTATTCACTTGAATAAGTCTAAACAACCTTTGCACCACATTCCAACAATGCAATGCAAGTTCTAGAACTACACTGGTATTTATCTAAACTTCGGACACATACAGTATGTGACAAAGGCGCAAAGAAAAAATTCAAAAAGGCATCTGGTGCAATTGGCTCTTCTCTTTTACCCCCAGGCTTAATTCGGTTAAGTGAGAAGAATCCAGTTAAAAGTCTACTGTATACAATTAACAGCTAGGAATCACATGTTTTCCAGGAACAAAAATGATTAACATTTTTGCTTTATTGCTTTCTTCTTCTTGTTATAATTAAAATACAAGCAAAAAGCCTGAGATAAGGGTTAAAAGAGGGGGAAAGGATTACAGCCTCATCAGCATTTGCCTCACAATACAATTCTGACACAAATTAACTGTAATTAAATTACCCTTGGTCTCAAAATATCATTAAGATTTTTTTCCAATAGATAAGAAACCATTTTTTTTCCATTTCAGAGGTTTTGGTCTGGATGAGAAGAAGAATCCTAGAATCCCCTTCAGAATTTCTTACATGACTGAAACCACAAATGTGATTTAGAGAAAACATACAGTACAAGTTCATTATTGTATCAGGGAAGAGAGCCACCACCTATCTTGTGATCGGAATCTACCTACAGGGGTGCCAAAAATATATTGCGCAGCAACTGCAAAATCCAGTCAATAAGAGCACTGTGCACAGAGCTATTTAAAACATCAACAGGGTGCAGAAAACAACACATAACAAAACCCCCCACCTCTACAAGCCCTAAAATTGTGAATTTCCATAAAAACTAAAAAGTTTAGTGACACAGAATCCAGCCATGGCTAAACAGTAAAAACATTTTTTTAGAGCTGCAGCAAATGGGCTTGTGAATAATGTATCACCAGGATTAAGAAAATTACTATTTTTAAAAGAGGACGTTAACTTACTCTCCCTCACTAGGATCTTATATTGGCACTTGGAACATGGGGAAGCTTAGTTTCTTTAGGTATTTTAATTTTTTTGTCATTTTCACACAAACTCTCAACAGATAACGTATTCACAAATGTCTTTCAGGGTGACGTCTATCTGAGACTTCTCCCCTTGCTTTCTGTGCACTCCGTCATGGACAGCATAAAGAAATGACCTTTCTTTATCTAGCCTTCGTAATAGGATTTTAACATGCAGGCTCTCCACTGGTTGACAGTAGCCATGACTGTTACTCTCAAGGCATTTTCATTTTTTTCTGGATATCTGTTCTCTTAATACTCTCTTTAGAGTTTTTTGCTCTTGGTACTGCTCGGTTGGGTTGCTAGAGTGTGTTGAACACTGCAAACAGCTATGACCAGAGAGCCAAAATGCCATTCCTAACCAATTAACTGAGCATTTGTGAATCATTTATAAACTTCTCATGGCAGCTTGAAATGTAAATTCAGACTAAAACCCTAGGGCACTATGTTTAACTGTAACCGTTAAAAAACTGTAATGAACTCAGAAGAGCTTCAAAAACCAGCAATCCATAACGGATTGATCAGATATATACACCAAATATATAGATTAGAAAGCAAATACTCTCTAATTTGGAGAATTTTATGTCTATAGCCTAACTACTCTATAGTTACTACAATATTACTACTATACTTCTGACTGCTACTATTAAATTAAATTAAAATAAGGGTAATTTATTCAAATAGAGCTTTCCAAGTAAAGATCACTACCACAGATTTGAACAAAACAATGTTTATTTTATTTTCACACTGGCATCTATACAGGTATCAGTCTATTATAATCTGATGACAGTAAACTAATGACTAGGATGCTGCTGCTGCAATGTTAGAACTGAGTTATCTACACAATCTCTGGCCATGAGGGAGGCCTTTTTGCAGAGTTAATTGGATCATTTATCAGACCTGTTTTTTTCACTAATTCCCCTGAAATAAAATATACTGGGCAGTTGGTTAGTGCAGAACTGTATTAAAAGACCTGTACTATACTATACTGCGCTGCACAGACATTTTGTAAATTTGCTTTAAAACAGAATAAATGCTTGATCAGGAAAGAAATATATTGTACATGAGTCCCAAAATCAGCATTCAACCAGTATTCAAACCTCACTAAACAAAATAATAGCAGGAAGTGATGCTTTATCTACAGTACAAAGTTAAATGAAAGTCTAAACAAGCAAACAGACCAATTATGTAATCGGTTAGACAGTTTTCCTCCAGGATCAGGCTTGGGAACCAGTACTCTGTGCAGCTGAAAGGAATGAATCATAGACCCAGATAAGGGAAACTGGGAACAGCAATAGCATGTGTTTTGGTTCTTATGTTAAAAGCCCTCCGTAGATTAAGAAGGAAACTTTAAATTATTGTGTAAATTTCACATTATTCATTCTCCCTTATACCAAACACAAGAGGCTTGGGTACTGTTGAAGCTCTTACAGTATGTCCATCCATCCATTTTCTAACCATTTCATCCAATTCAGGGTCACAGGAGAGTCGGCGCCAAACCTGGCAAGCAACGCATACGGGCAAGGTACACTCTGGATGGGACGTCTCAGGGCACAGATAGACACAGACACTGACACACTCACACCAGGGACAATTTTCCAAGAAGCCAATAAACCTGTCAGTTTGTCTTTGGTCTGTGAAGGGAAACTGTAGCACCCAGATGAAATCCACTCAAATACAAAACGGAGAGAACACACAAACTCCACGCAGACAATTAAACCCAGGGTCCCAGCACTGCGAAGCATCTATGGTAACCACTGCACCAGCATGACACCCAAGCTCATACATAAATTATCATAATTTACTGTTTGTTAGTCACAGATAATGCAGACAATCCACCTTGATTCTGCAGTCTGGAACATTCTGAATTCACAGTACAGGATCTATTACAAGACTGGAGAAGAATGTCTTCAGAGTATTTACATGCACTACTATGCAAAAGTCTGAGATATTTTCTATTTGTTCTTCTTTTTTGTCAGTATTTTTCTTCTTCATGCACAAACACAGCCTTATAAGGATCTACCGAAAATGTAACCTATGTGTATCAAGCTGACAATTTGTCCAGACAGATGTGTTTTACAGCACAAAAAAGTAGCCTTTTAATTTTATCACTGTGTAAAGGGCAAGACATTATGTCAATGATGAGGCACACCTGAAAATATACTGATTAGATCGAATTAAGCAAATGTTGTGGATTAACAGCCACAACACTTCAGATTGAT